TAATATGGATCAGAATAATCATAGTATGTTAGCCCTTTTAAGATTATAAAACAACATATTAGGATTGAATGATATATTTTAAAGGAGAGTTATATATTTTATGATCTATTAATAAATTGCAAAGAAAACATTTTTATGAATTTTTTTATAAAAGAAATAAAATAGAAATTAGAATAATTAAGGATATTAGTATATTTAAGGTAATTATAATAATTAAGGCAAAATTTATTTTAGGATCTCTTAATTAATAAATAAATAGCAAAGTATAAACTAAATGAGAATATTTTTTAAATTAAATATTAGAATATTTAAGGTAATAAGAAATAAAAAAGATATTAGTATATTTAAGTCAATTATAATGCTTAAGGCAAAATTAATTTTAGGATATATAAATAAATAAATAGCAAAGTATAAACTAAATGAGAATATTTTTTAAGTTAAATATTAGAATATTTAAGGCAATTATAAATTAAAAAGATATAAGTATATTTAAGTCAATTAGAATATGTAATTTATTTGACATAGAAAAATTATCTTATAAATTTATAATAGTAAAGTATCTATATATGTATGTAAGCAATAAAAAATAAGTGATATTTTAATTTTGATTATTTGCGTATTTTAATATTAAGATAAATTATTTAATATCATACAAAGTTTTAAAAAATAAAATAAATTAAATTACTATTTATCCTCATTAATTAAGCTATCCCCTTATTAATACTCTAAAAAAATTTTGACCTTTTAATTTTTTAATGATTTTATCAATTTAAATAAAATAAAAAACATGAATTGGCAATATTTATGCATTATATAATTATAATTAACTAAAATTAATATTATATTATAACAAATTCAAGAATACTTGGCTTTGTATGCTGCAATTAATTCGTTACTACGACCATCTTGTTTTCCAATGTCTTTTAAAATTTATTCAACAAATAGATTTGTTAATTTTTTGGAGCTTTAAGCAGAATTTATATCAAGATATTCACTAACCCCATTAGTTAATTTTGCAATATCTTCAAACGTACTTTTTGCTCTTTGTTGGAGGTAAAATGTATTAACAGGAACATTTTTACTATTAAGTTTTTAACACTCTGGAACATAATAAGTTAATCCTTTTAGTGGAGTACTTTCCCAATAAGTCTATTTAAATTCATTTCTAAATTTTTAAGCTTCATTCTGTAGATGAGCAGGTTAATCCCCTAAAATTATTACTTGACTTATTGGGTCTTCATCATTTTATTTGTTAGCCCACCATAATCCTACTTCCACAGATTCTCCTGGCCATGTACCACCAGAGGCTGTTATTTTTTATAAGAAAGACCTTAACTTATCTGGATTATTTTCCCAAGTTGAAGTTTAGAATATCTCTTCCCATTTGCTATTATAACTTCTAAAACAGCTTATCATGATTAAAAAGCATTATGGATCATATCCTTTTTCTTTTAAGATTTCCCTGGTTTATTCAAAAGTTGTCTAAATAGTATTTTTAGTTTAAGTGATGAGACTGCCCATTGATCCAGTAACATCCATAGCAATTAGAGTTTTAAAAGTATTTTCTTTTGGTCCTTAATTCAATTACAATAAGTATTTTTTAACTTCTTATAAATTACGATCTTTTAAAAAATTTAAGAAGTCCACTGATTATTTATGGCTAGTCATTGATGTCTTTTGATTATATTCTATATTACTTTTAAAGTCATTTTCGAAATTAACCTGACGATTTCTATCAAGGACTTCATATATTTCATCAAGTTTCTCAATTTTCTTTTTATCTTCTTCTGTTTTAAGGAAAGCCTAAAGAGTATCTAGTTGAAGAACCATGCTGAAAGAACCTTCTTCACCTTATCTTGCTGTCCTTCCTTTTGTCTAGGTTTCCTCAGACTTATCCTCAGAAAAGAAAGTCTGAATAACATGAATTCCATAATTTTAAAATATGATAGAATCATTAACTTAGAAATCTATACCTCTACCAAAAATTTTGGTCAGTAAAGTAATTGCACCAGAGTATGTTGCATCTTTTATAATTTTCTTTCTTTCTTCAATTGAGTTTTCTTCTGTCATAATTTAAGTCTAGGAATTTTATTTTAAGGTTTTGAACTATTAACTATTGTAGTAGTCAAGCAAGATGTCTTTGGTATTAAAGAAAACTAGTACTGCTCTTTTTTAATCAGTTTTTCCAACTATATTCCTATTTATTTCATTTGTTATAGTATTGTAATACTCTTATTACAAAACTACTTTCACATCTTTTTGGGGGTTAAATTAAAACTTACTCTTACCATATACTGATGGTATAAAAGTGTATTATTTCATATTATATGTGTTTTATATTAATTCGAGCTGACTTTAACTTAAAGTTTCTAAAGTTCCAGTCACACCATTAATTATGAAAAACTTTTTAGGTAGCTCTTAATAGCTAAAGCTTCCACTGTTAATTTTGAAGAGTTTTTATTTTTAAAGACCTACATTTGAAATTTTTGAGTTCTAATTTTCTTAATAGTATGTATACAAAGTTCTATATCCATATGATATGTTATCAAGATATTAATCTTAATTTTTGTAATAAATTTTATCATTTTAAATTTTATAATTTTCAATCATAACATTATTGAAATTTTTAAAATCAGAAACAACAATTTTTGTTTATTCTTTAATTAATTCAGCCCATTTAGGAAATTGAGCAATGCAGCTTTTATACTCTAGAGACCCAAAAATATATTTAAAACTAAAATTTGGATCAAATTTGGCACTCCATATTTTATCAAGTAATTTTTCAACTGCTGGACCTTAGATTGGTGCCACTATGTCATAATTATTTCCAAAAAAGTCTTTACTAAAAAAGACATCTACTTCATCTATCAAGAGAACCTATTTCTTGATATCTGAAGTGTTTGAGCATTTAATATTATCTGTTTAGATATAACTTGAAACTTATTCTCTAATGTCTCCTTTTTGGTTTAATATTTCTTCACAGACTTTGTTGAATGTTCCATACATAATCAAATCTTTAATCATTAACTTTTCAAACAAAAGCGAGAATTCTTCATAATCTCTTACACTAAGTTAATTACTGTAGCAAGCGCACTTAACATAAAATCCACAAAGAGAATAAAAGCATGCCAGAGCCGCCAAAACAACAGATTTTCCCTCACCAGTCAAGACTTAAGCTAAACTGTTACACTATATTTCATCATAATTTTTGGAGTAGCCAATTCCTAAAAGCCTAAAAATTGCAACTATTTAAGCAGGATGAGGTTTTAATAAAAAGCTTTACTTGTTTTCGTATGACTAATCTATTGATTCAAAATAATATTTTGAGTTTATACAAGTCCAGCAACAGAAAATACCTGCTAAAAGTTCAGTAGCTATATTCAAAGATGTTTATTCTATTTTTCCTGTTTTATTAAATTCATCTTTGTTGATTTTATTGACTGAACTTTATATTTCTTTCAAGAGGTCAATAAAATTAATTTTCTCAAAAGAAGTTAAATATTTTTATAAATATTGATTGTATTTATCAAAAAATATTTTATAAAATTCGTTTAGTTAAGCCTTGTTTAAGTCATCTTTTTTAGAAATACCAGAATAGCCCTTAATTTATTCTATGACTTGATCAATGCTAAACCTTTATATTCTTTGATTTGTATCACTAATCTAAAATCCTTTGAAAAAAGGGTGATTTTGTGCTACTTAATCACCATATTTAGATTTTCTTAATTGAATTTATAATTTTTCTAGAGATCCTTTAGAATCTTTGTAATTTTTTAATACTTAGTTAATGTTTTCATTGCATTCTGTTTTTATTTTTTCCATGTAGATGAAAGTTGAGGATATTTTATGCATATTAAATATGTACTCAGTAACTTATTCTAGTTTATCAATTTCTTTTGGTTCTTTAAATTATCTTTTAATTTACTGTAAAAATTCTGATTACACAAACCTCTAATCAATACGAGTTTTTACATAATCCATAGATGAAAAATATTAATCAATAAATTTCGAATTCAAATAAATGTTATTAATACTTTTAACAACATTATCATCAAAAATATCACCTTAAAAGCACTATTTGAGATCTTAATTTATTGATTCAACTGTTTAATTTAATTTTGATAGCAAGTCCTGAAATAGAGTTTTATATTGAGTTCCTAAATTGAATTGCTGCGCTATATTTTGCATTTCTTTAGCATTTTATAAGCCTTTTTAAAAAGATTGGTAGTAATCTTCATACTCTTTCTAAATTTTAAATGTATTAACATTCTTTAAGATAATTTATTCCATCTATTTTTACAATTTTTATTGCTTAGAATTCAAATTTTCTATTAATTCATGATATGATTCACCATCAAAATTTTAAAGTTAGTAAATAATATTAAATTATTCCTTGAAACAAGTAAAATCGTCCTCAGTATTTTTAATTTACTTTACTCTTTGTTTTATATTGTTAATAACTTTTGATTTTTATTCTTAAATTTATTCAAACACATAGAAACAATCAAGTCCTTTTAAAAGCTTCAACTCTTATTCTTACAATTTGCCATAAACCTTTAGTAAAGAATTGCATAATAAGCAATAATGAGAAAAAAATTCTATGGATTTTTAATTGCTGCTAATTTTTTGATTCAATATATTTTATATTAACTTTTCAGCTTCTTTAATTTGATCACAAAATAGTTGCTCAAAAACGTTATTTAATTTTTCTTTTACCAAAGATTAATATTCCTAGGTGGTGCTAATGCCAACCCTAATTAAATTCTGAAGATTTTTCTCAAAGTTATTGTATTCTTTGCAATTAGATATAATTTGTATATGGGTCTATTCTATTTCTTTTTCCATGAATTCTTCAAGCTTGATTTTAAATTGTTTATATAAGCTTGAATCAGCTAGAGTTTTTTATATCTTATTTAGCCCTATATAACTTTTTTGTTTAAAGCAGCTTTCAATTTCTTCTTATATTTTATCAGTATTTTTAATGTTTTTTATTTATTAGTTCAGAGATTTTATCATTTCCTTAGGAATATTATCAAAAAAAGATTAAACTTATCTGATAGCTTCTTCTTGTTAATTTAAAGGCTTGTCTCTTACATTAGTGAGCTTATCTTCCAGTTTTTTCTAGAAAATATCTTAAAGTAATTTAGAAAAGTTTTAATAAATATCATCATCTTCTACCTTTTCTAATCTTTCACATATGAAATTCAAATTAAATCTCTCTGTTTTTGAGTTTTCTAACTTTAAATTCTCTACTTTTTATTAAAGTTCTTGGAAGCAGTTTTCTTATATCTATCTTAATTTATTGAATTCTTCATCTATAGGAAATTATTGTTATAGTATTTTAAAAATTTCTAACATAAATTTATATTAATCATTAGATTCTTTGAAATTGTTGTTATTGAACGTTTATTTTATTTTTTTGGGTCCTTCGTGAGCAATTTAGTTAACACTGTTATTAACCTATTCAATCTAAGGCTTAAGCTTATCTACATCCAAATAACCCTTAAAATGATATTCATAATCCTTGAAATGCTTATATAGATTAATAATTTAATTTGCATTATCCATTTATTCTTTGAGTTGGTTGCTAATAGGTGAATAAGTTACAATTTATTTGAGCTTATCAGCGTATTACTAAATTTATGTTATGATTTTTTTCATTTCATTTTCAAGCTAAAACTTTAAATCATTCAAAATCATTTGATGTTCTTTGTTTTCTTTATTTTGCATGGTCTATTCATAAAGCTATTTATAAGTCTCTAGTATTTTTGGAAGATGAAGGTTACTTAACTATTGCTCTAATCCACTTTTAAGATTTTGAACATTAAGTTTATTCTTAGCATAGGTATCAGAGAGTAAACTAGCAAAAGAAAATTAATTTTAAGGAGTACATTCTAATTCATCTAATATTTTTAGTTGCTGTAAAATGAAAATCCACTTTTATTAAACATGTTCATTTTCATCTACAATCTCTTTTATTTATCTCCATAGTCTCTTAAGAAGAGTTTATTACTAAGAAATTAAAAAGGCACTTCTACTTTACTCCAATTTATATTTTAATTCGCTGAAATTTTCAATCTTTGACATTTCTTCAAACTTATTGTAGATGTTTTTTGAGCAGTCTTCAATTTATTTTCTCTCTTCATTTGTTAAAGAAGCATTTTGGAAGATGTTCTTTAGCTGTTCAAAAGACTATTAAAGAGACTTCTCTTTTTCTAAGCAGTGGTTTATTAAATTTTGATTCAAATCTTCAAGCATTTTTTGAGCTTCCTATCTATAAATCCTATTTGAAATGCATTTCTATAAGAATTAGTAACACTTTTAGTACTCCCAATAAGGAATATCTTATGGCTATGAAAGTGTCTTTATTTTATTAAAGTATGGCTCGAACTTTTTCCTAACCTCAACTTCATACTCATTTACTATTATTTTTAATTCTTCATCTAAATTTGAAAAATTTTTTAGCTTCTTCATTTTTTCATTTGAGCTTGTTATTTTATTGAGATCTTCTGTTTAATCTAAAGTGATTTCTATCGATCAAGCCTTTCCATAATTATATTGGCAAATTTCATCAAAGATTTATATATCTTTTACTTTTAAGAATCATACTCCTATTCTTAATCTAGCTCTTAGATCCATTAACATCCTTAAATTAATGAAATAGTATCTTCTAAATTTTAGAAATACAAATCTTATTAATTTGTATCACTGTTTATTTACAAATCATTTATAGTTTGACTGATTTATTTTGAAATTTTTGCAATTCTTAAATTTAAGAGACTTATTAAACTTGTAAATTGTTACTCAAGCTTAGATTAAAACTTAGAAAATATTTAAAGTTAAATAAGTCTTTATTTTAGTCCTTACAGATCACTTGATTCCTCGTTTATCACAGCTTTGACTTTTTCCTCAAGAGTTTAGTATTCTCTTTCTATTTGTTCTCTGTATTAATTTTAAAAAATATTTATCTTTTCTTTACAAATTTCATCATTTAATTTAGACTTTTTGAATTCTTGGAGAATAAATTGAATTTTTTCTTTAGCGTTTTGTATATCTGTTTTATGTTACTCAATCGTCTTAGCTGTTAATTATTTTATTTTATCAAAAATTGTCTGCTTTATGTTTTCCATAACTTAAATAACCTAATCAAAAGTCTTAACAATTTAATCTTTAACATCATTAGCAGGCAAAAACGGGCAACTCTCTATATAGTTGATAATTTGCTGCATCTCATCGAAAAAACCAACAAATTTGTCTTGTTACAAAAAGCTTTCTGACTTTTTCATTTGGTTTGAAATGTTCTACATCACTTAAGCAATAAATAAATGAATGGATTTTTCATCTTTAATCACATCTGATAAAAATAACAGCTTCTAGTAATATTCATTTACATTATTTTATTAGTATGAAATCAATTCCAACTTCACATTCTCAAGTAGTGCTGCAATAGCTCTTTACAAGGCTCCATTTAATTTTTTCACCAAATTTTCAGCTTAAGGTAAAAGATCATATAAAATATCAATTTTAGACAGTTCTTATTTAGTATTTAAAAAGTTAGTAATTTATTATTCATCGATCCTCTTGAGATTAATAATTTACTCAACAAATTAATCTACATTTTAAATTTCGCTATTTATGTATTCATCAACTAAAGTAAAGTTTTATTCCCATTAATTAGTTATAGATGATAAATCTGGTATATATTATTTTAACAGATTTAATTAAGTAAGCTTTTTAAAAATCAGAACAAAATTTCTTTTTTTTAAAGCTGTTTGTATTCTACTTTGATCTTATTTTAACTGCTATGAAATAGAAATTTCTGCTTCAGATGTAAAAAAGCAAGTAAAAGCATCCTTTGGCATTTGAATAGCTTATTTATTTTTAATATGCCTCTCTATGAACATATATCCCTTTATACTCAAATCAAAGAAAACTATGTTTTTTTCATCTTAAGTTTATTATAACATAGTTTTAAGCACAGATTGAAATTCTTAATCTTTTTTTTAATCTTCATTTAAATTTTTGTAAATATTTTTGAGTTTGTTGTGAAGTTGTGCCTTATCCTCCTCATTTTTAAATTTACAGAAGACAAATAAGAATTTTCCAATTATTTATTGGAAATTTTATGTAGGATTCACCATTTTTTTAATTACGTTTGCTAAAATTTTTATTCCTTAGCCTCTATTAGAGATTTCTTCTTCACTAACTAGGATAATAGGTTTTATGCTCTTGCAAACTGAAATGCATTTTTAAATTCCAGTTAGATTTGAAATCTCTGCTTCTAATCCTTCTGAATCCAAAAAACCAGGTGTATCACATAAGTTAATTTCTCCATCATCACCAAACTCATTTCCTTCTTAGTCTGAAGGTTTGATTTTAACAAGAGTGACAAATTTTGTTTCTGATTTGGCATCTGGTTTAGAAATAACGCGATCTAAAGCTTTGTATAAAGCATTAGTGGGTTCCCAGTGATTTAGCCTATCTTTATTGATTGTTTTATTAATTATTGATCCTGCCAAGTAGTGAATGAAAGTACTCTTTCCAACCCCTGTGAATCCAAAAATCATAACAACCTCCAGGTAATTCATTTCTTTACTAGAATTGTAGGATTCACTTACCTCATCGCATATTTTTTGGAAGTTCAAAGGATTAATAGCTCTAAAGAATCTACTGATTTCTATTTATGCCTTTTTAAATTTTTAATTTTTATACTCTAGTAGGCTTGCTTCATATAATGGTTATATTTATCTTATAGTAGATTCACTTTCTAACATCATTTATTCATTTATGAGATTAAAAAGAGTCATACATTCTACATCTGGATATTTTTCATTTAAGAATTTTAGCAATAGTAATATGCTATCATCTAAGCAAAAGTTCTTGAGTTTGTCTTCATGAACAAATCTCATTTGTTAACCTACTTACTGTCTTGAAATTTAGTTATAAAATTAAATATCTTCTTCATCATTGCTTGAATAGTCGAGCTCCATTTTCTTTTAGTATTTTGTTTAATTTTGTTTATTTATTTATTAAGATATTAAATAAAGGTAAAGATTGTTTGTATTTAAATCAAATATTTGATAAATTAGAATATTTAGATTTTAATGATTTAAAATTCAATTTATCGAATTTAATAAGATGATTTTTGAACGTTTTTATGATCCGAATTAATTGGTAAATATATAAAATCATAATTCAGGCTTTCTTATTGATAAATTTCTTAATTTTTCATACAAAAAGAGAATAGAGAGAATTTTAAAACTGAGCACTATAAATGGATGATAATATATTAAATTGTTGAAATAGTAAATACTTTTTAGGATATTTAAATAAAATTATTTTTATTACTACAAAAAAGAATATTTGAAAATTATCTTAGGGTATAATATATAGGGATGTACTGATTCCGATATATATCGTTATCTGTAAAAAAAATTCATCGATATTTATAGTAAATTACAAAAGCTATAAAAAATAAAAAAAAGAGTATCATACTTATTTATAGGATATTATTATATTTAGGTAAAATATTTAAAATGGCAGAGAGTTTAGCAAAAGTTTTATTTACTTAATAAGAATGCATTTTTATTGACCTATAAATAAAATATAATTAAAAACTTAAATTTAAGGCAGTTGCTATTCAAAAGAAGAGGTTTATTAAATAATTCTAATAATTATTTAGAATATTTAACACATACTATAATTCAATCTACTTTAATAAAAAACTATTTATTATTTTGACATAGAAATAGATAAAAAGATTGAATAAAATTAGTGATTAAATACATATTGTCTTAAGTAAGTTAGTATGGATTAGAATAATCATATTATATTTTTTTTGCCATTTTTATGATAACAAAATATCATACTAACATTAAATGGAATTATTTAAAGGAGAATGTATAAATAAATCTATTTTAGAATCTATAAATAGATATCAAATTATAAATTTTATCTATATATTTTATAAAAGAAATACTAATAATAATAAGTAAATTAGAATATTTAAAATAATTAGAATATTTAAGACATTTAGAATATTTAAAACAAATAGAATATTTGAGGTAATATTTTATTTAAGGCAATTAAAATATTTATGGTATTTATTATTTTTAAGTTAATTAGAATATTGATGGCAATTATTATATTCATGGTAATTACAATATTTAAAGAAATTAGAATATGTCAATTGTATTGAAAAAATGATCTTATAATAATAAAAGAATGATAAGTATGTAAGTCATAAAAAATAAGTGATATTTATTTTGCTTTTTTGGGTTTTTTAATATTTCGATAAAATATTTGTTTATTATCATAAAAAGTTTTAAAAAATAAAATAAATTAAAATAGTATCAATCCTCATTCATGAATAAAACTACCCATTCGCTACTTTTTTCCAAAAACTTTTACTTAATTAAGAATGTAATTTTATAAAATAAAAATCTATTATTTATTAAAAATGTAATATCTTAAATTACATATTAATATAAAAAAATTATAAAACTAATATTTAAAAATTAAAATTAAAATAAAATTATTAAATTAATTAACCTACTTTAGAGCAAATCTAGGAATTAAATTCTTTATTCTCCACTTCCATAAGAATTTAATACCTGGAAGTGCAAAATAACAAGTGAATTAATGAGTGTGTTATTTTAAAATATCATTTTTTTAAATTGCACCAATTCAAAAACATAGGATTTTTAAATTTAAAAATACTGGTAATCACATAAAAACATGTAAATTCTATTAAATTGGTTACTAATCTAGTGGATTCGCAATCTTCTTATTCTTTAAATCACAGATTTCTCAATACACAATTAATTATTTTATCATATTAAACAAATAGAATAAAAAACATGAATTGGTAAAACACAACAGATAATTAACTAAAAATTATTATTTATTTTATTACAAAATCAGGAATATTTGGCTTTGTATGCTGAAATTAATTCGTTGCTACAACCATCTTGCTTTCCAATGTCTTTTAAAATTTATTCAACAAACAGGGTTGTTAATTATTTGGAGCTTTATCCAGAATTTATATCAAGATATTAACTTATTCCATTTGTTAATTTTGCAATATTTTCAAATGTACTTTTTGCTCCTTATTTCAGGTAAAATGTATTGACAGGAATATTTTTATTTTTAAGTTTTTAACACTCTGGAACATAATAAGTTAATCCTTTTAGTGGAGTAGTATCCCAATAACTCTATCCAAATTAATTTCTAAACTTTTAAGCTTCATTCATTAGATGAGCAGGTTAATCCCCTAAAATTATTACTTGACTTATTGGGTCTTCATCATTTTATTTGTTAGCCCACCATAATCCTACTTCCACAGATTCTCCTGGCCATGTACCACCAGAGGCTGTTATTTTTTATAAGAAAGACCTTAACTTATCTGGATTATTTTCCCAAGTTGAAGTTTAGAATATCTCTTCCCATTTGCTATTATAACTTCTAAAACAGCTTATCATGATTTAAAAGCATTATGGATCATATCCTTTTTCTGTTAAGATATCTCTAGTTTATTCAAAAGTTGTTTATATTGTATTTTTGGTTTAAGTGATGAGATTACTCATCGATCCTGTAACATCCATAGCAATTAGAGTTTTAAAAGTATTTTCTTTCGGGCCTTAATTCAATTACAATAAGTATTTTTTAACTTCTTATTAATTACAATCTTTTAAAAAATTTAAGAAGTCCTCTGATTATTTATGGCTAGTAATTGAGGTCTTTTGATTATATTCTATATTACTTTTAAAGTCATTTTCGAAATTAACCTGACGATTTCTATCAAGAACTTCATATATTTCATCAAGATTCTCAATTTTCTTTTAATCTTCTTCTGTTTTAAGGAAAGCCTATAGAGTGTCTTGTTGAAGAACCATGCTGAAAGAACCCTCTTCACCTTATCTTGCTGTCCTTCCTTTTATCTAGGTCTCTTCAGACTTATCTTCAGAAAAGAAAGTTTGAATAACATGAACTCCATAATTTTAAAATATAATAGTATCATTAACTTAGAAATCTATACCTCTACCAAAAATTTTGGTCAGTAAAGTGATTGCACCAGAGTATGTTGCATCTTTTATAATTTTCTTTCTTTCTTCAATTTAGTTTTCTTCTGTCATAATTTAAATCTAGGAATTTTATTTTAAGGATTTGAACTATTAACTATTGTAATAATCATGTAAGGTTTTCTTGGTATCAAAAAAAACTAGTACTGCTCTTTTTTAATCAGTTTTTCCAACTATATTTTTGTTTATTTCATTTGTAATAGTGTTATAATATTCTGATTATGAAACTACTTTCACATCTTTTTGGGGGTTAAATTAAAACTTACTCTTTCCATATATTGATGGTATAAAAGTGTATTATTTCATATTATATGTGTTTTATATTAATTAGAGTTGGCTTTAACTTAAAGTTTCTAAAGTTCCTGTGACACCATTAATTATGAAAAACTTTTTAGGTAGCTCTGAATAACAAAAGCTTCCACTGTTAATTTTAAATACTTTTTATTTTTAAAGACCTACATTTGAAATTTTTGAATTCTAATTTTCTTGATAGTAGGTATACAAAGTTCTATATCCATATGATATGTTATCAAGATATTAATCTTAATTTTTATAATAAATTTTGTCATTTTAGATTTTATAATTTTCAAAACTAACTTTATTGATATTTTTAAAATCAGAAACAGCAATTTTTGTTTATTCTTTAATCAGCTCAATCCAATTAGGAAATTGAGCTATACAGTTTTTATACTCTTGAGACTTACAAATATATTTAAAACTAAAGTTAGGATCATGTTTGGCATTCCATATTTTATCAAGCAAGCTTTCAATTGTTTGGTCTTAGATTGGTGCCACTATATCATAATTATTTCCAAAAAAGTCTTTACTAAAAAAGACATCTACTTCATCTATTAAGAGAACTTATTTCTTGATATTTGAATTATTTGAATATTTAATATTCTCTGTTTAAATATAACTTGAAACTTGCTCTCTAATGTCTCCTCTTTGGTTTAGTATTTCTTCACAGACCTTGTTGAATGTTCCATACTAAATCAAATCTTTAATCTTTAACTTTTCAAACAGAAGTAAAAATTCTTAGTAATCTCTAACACTAAGTTAATTACTGTAGCAAGCGCACTTCACAGAAAATCCGCATAGAGAGTAAAAACATGCCAGAGCTGCCAAAACAACAGATTTTCCCTCACCAGTCAAGACTTAAGCTAAACTGTTACACTATATTTCATCATAATTTTTGGAGTAGCCAATTCCTAAAAGTCTAAAAATTGCAACTATTTAAGAAGGATGAGGTTTTAATAAAAAGCTTTACTTGTTTTCATATGACTAATCTATTGATTCAAAATAATATTTTGAATTTATACAAGTCCAACAACAGAAAATACCTGCTAAAAGATCAGCAACTATAATCTAAGATGTTTATTCTATTTTTCCTGTTTTATTAAACGCATCTTTGTTGATTTTATTTACAGAATTTTATATTTCTTTCAAGAGGTCAATAAAATTAATTTTCTCAAAAGAAGTTAAATATTTATCTAAATATTGATTGTATTCATTAATAAATCTTTGGTAGAAATTATTTAGTTAAGTCTTATTTATGTCATCTTTTTTATCGATATCAGAATAACCTCTTACTTATTCTAAGACTTGATCAATGCCAAACCTCTATATTCTTAGATTTGTATCACTAATCTAAAATCCTTTGAAAAAAGGGTGATTTTATGTTACTTAATCACCATATTTAGATTTTCTTAATTGAATTTATAACTTTTCTAGAGATCCTTTAAAATCTTTGTAATTTTTTAATGCTTAGTTAATCTTTTCATTACATTCTGTTTTGATTTTTTCCATGTAGATGTAAGTTGAAGATATTTTATGCATATTAGATATGTACTCTGTAAATTATTCTATTTTATCAATTTACTTTGGTTCTGTAAACTACTTTTAAATTTACTATAAAAATTCTGATTGCACAAACCTCTAATTCATACTATTTTCTACAAAGCCCATAGATGAAAAATATTAATCGATATATTTAGAATTCAAATAAATATTGTTAATACTTTTAACAACACTATCATCAAAAATATCACCTTAAAAACATTATTTGAGATCATAATTTATTGATTTAATGATTTAATTTAATTTTTATAGTAAATCTTCAAATAGCGTTATTTTTTAAGAGATTATATTGAATTACTACACTAAAATTTACATTTATTTAGCATTTTAGAAGACTTTTTAAAAATAATGGTAGTAATCTTCATACTCTTTCTAAATTGTAAATTTATTAACATCCTTTTACAAAATTTATTCCACCTAATTGTTCAGTTTTTATTGCTTAGATTTTAAATTTTCTATTAATTCATGATATGATTCACAATCAAAATATTAAAGTTAGTAAGCAATTTTAAATTAATCGTAGATACATGAAAAGTCTTCTTCAGTATGTTAAATTTACCTTACAATAGGTTTGAGATTTGTGATAACTAATTATTATTATATTTAAATTTAATCAAACACATAGAAATATTCAAGTTCTTTTAAAATTTTCAGCTCTTATTCTTACAATTTGTGATAAACCTTTAACAAACAATTACCTAAACAGCAATAATCAGAAAAAAATTCTAAATTTGTTTAGTGATTACTAACTTTTTAACTCAATACATTTTGAATTTTGTTTCCAGCTTCTTTAATTTTATCACAAAATAATTGCTCAAAAACATTATTTAATTTTTCTTTTACTTAATCTAAATATTTTTAGGTTTAGGCGGTGTTAACAGCTATCCTAATTAAATTTTGAAAGCTTTTCTCAAAGTTAATATATTTTTTATCATTTAAAATAATTTCATTATAATTCAATTAAATTTCATTTTCTATGAAATTATCAAGCCTATTTTTAAATTCAGTATAAAGGCTTGAATCTTTTAGTGTCTCTAATAGCTTAATAATTTCAATAATATTTTTTTGTTTATAGAAATTATTCATTTATTCTTTAATTTTGTCAGTCTTATTGATGTTTTCTATTAATTAGCTCAGAGAGTTTTTCATTTAATTAGGAATTTAACCAAAAAAACTTTGAACTTCTTTGATAGTTTTCTCAAATTAGCTTAGAGACTTTTCATTTGCTTATTTCAACTTATCTTCCAGTTTTTTCTAGAAAATGTCTTAAAGCTATTTAGATAAGTTTAAATAAATTTCGTTATCTTATACCTTCTCTAACTTGCCACATATTAGATTCAAATCAAATATTTCTGTTTTTGAGTTATCTAAATTTAAATTCTCAACTTTTTATTAAAGTTCTTTGAAGCAGTATTCTTTAATTTATCCTGATTCTAATTGGTTGAATTGTTCTTTTATTTCAAATTTTTACATAAGGATCTTAAAAACTTCTTGCATAAATTAATATTAAACATTAAATTCTTTGAAATAATAGTTTTTGAACATTTATTATATTTTTTTGAGTCCTTCATTAGCAACTTAGTAAATAATTTTATTAATTTATTCAATTTCAGACTTAAATTTATCTACATCCAAATAGTCCTTAAAATAATAATCATAATCATTGAACTGCTTATATGAATTAATAATTTAGTCTGCATAATCTATTTATTCTTTAATTTAGCTGTCAATAGATAAAAAAGTCACATGTTAACTTAACTTGTCGACTTATTACTTAATTTATATTATTATTTTTTACATTTAATTTTCTAACTAAAACTTAAAATCTTCCAAAACCATTTGATTTTCTTTATTTTCTTTATTTTACATAGCCTACCCTTAAAGCTTTTTATAGGTAGCAAGCATTTATGGAAGATAATTGTTACTTAACTATTTATCGAATCCAGATTTCAGTTATTCAACGTTAAATTTATTCTTTTTATAGGTTTTAGAGAGTAAATCAGAAAAACAAAATGAATTTTATGAGTTACTTTGTAATTCATCTAATATTTTCAGTTTCTGTAAAATGAAAATCCACTTATATTCTACATATTCATTCATATCTACAATCTCCTATAATTAAATCTATATTCTCTTAATACCGGATAATTATTATGAAATAGAAAAGTTGCTTTTATCTTAATCCAGAATATCTTTTAATTCACTAAACTTTTCAATCTTTGACATTTCTTCAAACTTGTCATAGATATTTTTTGAGCAATTTTCAATTAACTGTCTCTCTTCACTTGATAAAGAAGTATTTTGAAAGATATTCTATAGCTGCTCAAAAGACTATTTAAGAGATTTCTCTTTTTCTAAGCAGCTATTTATTAGATTTTTTTTCACATCTTCGAGCATTTATTGAGCTTCCTTTTTATAAATCTAATTTGAAATGCATTTATTTAAGAATTAATAACTCTTTTAGCGTTCCCAAAAAGTAGTATTTTATTGTTCTGAAAAATTTTTTATTTTATTAAATTAATACTAGAACTTCTCCATAACAATACCATCATATTAGTTTATTGATTGTTTTAACACTTCATCATAATGTGAAAAATTATTTAGTTTCTTCATTTTTTATTTTGAGCTTGCTATTTTCTTGAGATCTTCTGTTTATTCTAAACCGATTTCTAATTAATCAAGCTAATCAATAATTATATTAGCAAAGTTTTTCATAGAGTTAAGTATCTTTTATTTTTAAGAATCATACTCCTAGTCTTAATCTATTTCTTAAATCCATTAACATTCTTAAATTAAATAAAAAGCCTCTTCTAAATTTTAGAATTGCATTCCTAATTCATCTTCACTGTTATTTGTAATTTACAACTCTTTTACAACTTATTTGATTTTTTTTGACATTTTCGCAATTCTTGAATTTATGAGACTTACTAAACTCTTAAATTTTTAGTCAAGCTTAGGATAAAGTTTAGATAATAGTTAAAGTTAAATAAATCTTGACTTCAGTACCTACAATTCACTTGATTCATCATTTATCACAGCTTTGACTTTTTCCTCAATATCCTAGTACTCTTTTTCTATTTGTTCTCTGTATTCCTTTTAAAAATTATTTATCTTTTCTTTGCAATGTTCATCTTTTAAATTAGATTTTTTGAATTCTTAATGAATTGAGTGAATTTTTTCTTTAGCATTTTGTATATCTCTATCATTTTCCTCATTTTTCTTCACTGTTTATTGCTTTATTTTTTCAAAAATTGTCAGCTTTGAGTTTTCCATTTCTAAAATAACTTTATCAAAAGCCTTCACAATTTAATCTTTAACATTATGAGCAGGTAAAAATGTGCAACTCTCAATATAGTTGATAATTTGCTGCATCTCATTAAAAAAATCAGCAAAGTTGTCCTGTTATAAAAAGCTTTCTGCCTTTTTCACTTGGTTTGATATGTTTTCCATCATATAACTAATAAATACAGTTATGGAATTTTCTTCCTTAACGATATCTGATAAAAATAGCAATTTCTAGTAATATTCATTTACATTATTTTATTAGCATGAAATCAAGTCTTACTTCACATTTTAAAGTATTGCTAAAATAGCTTCTCTCAAGGCTCCATTAAACTTTTACACCAAATTCTCAGTTTAAGGTAATAGTTTATATAAAATATTTAACTTAGACAGTTCTTATTTTGTATTTAAAAAATTAGTAATTTATTCTTCGTCAATCTTCTTAAATTCAATAATTTTCTAAACAAATTAATCTACACTTTAAATTTCGCTATTTATTTAGTCATCAATTTAAGTTAAGTTTTGTTCCCATTAATTACTAAATGATGACAAATCTTGTATACTATTTTTTAGCAAATTTAACTAAGTAAGCTTTTTAAAAATCAGCAAAAAGTTTCTTTTTTTCCATGCTGTTTATATTCTACTTTGGTCTTATTTTAACTGTTATGAAATGGAAGTTTCTGCTTCAGATGTAAAAAAACAAGTAAAAGCATCCTTTGGCATTTCAATAGCTTATCTACCTATAATATGCTTTTCTATGAACTTATATCCCTCAATACTCAGATCGAAGAAAGCTATGTTTTTTTCATCTTAAGTTTATTATAACATAGCTTTAAGGACAGAAATAAATTCTTAATCTTTTTTTTCGCCTGCGTTCAAATTTTCGTAAATATTTTAGAGTTTTTTGTGAAGCTACTCCTGACTCTTCTTATCTGAAAACTTAGAAAAGACAAATATGAATTTCCGAATCAGTTATTGAAAGTTTTATGAAGGCTTCACCATTTTTTTAATTACATTTGCAAGACTTTTAATTCCTGAGCCTCTGTCAGAGATTTATTGTTCACTAATAAGAATAATAGGCTTTATGCTCTTGCAAACTGATATACATTCATAAATTCCGGTTAGATTAGCTATCTCTGCCTCATTTCCTTGAGTATCTAGAAAACCAGGAGTATCGCATAAGTTAATCTCTTCATCTTCACCATACTCATTTCCTTCTTAGTCTGAAGTATTGATCCTGACAAGAGTAGCAAACTTTGTTTCTGATTTGGCATCTGGTTTAGAAATAACGCGATCTAAAGCTTTGTATTTAAAATTAGTGGGTTCCCAGTGGTGTAGTCCATCTTTATTGATTATTTATTAAATTTTTGATCCTGCTAAGTAGTGAATGAAAGTACTCTTTCCAGTCCCCGTGAATCCTAGTACCATAACAACATCCTAATTATTCATCTCTTTACTAGAAATTTAGGATTCATTTATCTCATCTGATATTTTTTGGAAATCCAAATTATTAATCTCTTTAAACAATCTACTGATTTCTATTTCTGCCTTTTCAAAGTTTTGATTTTTATACTCTTGTAGGCTTGTTTCAAATAATGGTTATATTTATCTTATTGCAGCTTCACTCTCAAACTTTATCTATTCATTTATGACATTAAATAGAGTCATCACAGCCATATTTGAATACTTCAAATTTTAGAATTTTAGTAATTCTGATATGTTTTCATCTAAGCAAAATTTTGTAAGTCTGCCTTCATAATCAATAATTATTTTTTCCTCTTACTTTTAAACATATTACTATATTGCTTAAGTTGAGTCTTAGGATAAAGATTCTTCTGAGTCATATTCAAAATCAAACTACATTTTTTTTAGTTATTAATTTAATTTTTTTTTAATTTATTATTTATTAAAATTTAGAATTAAGGTATTAGATAGTTAGTATTTAAATGAAAAATATTATAAATAAGAGTATTTAAAAATTGCTTTTTAAATTTGAATTTCTTTACACGGGGGATAATATAATGACTTTTAAATATTGTTAAGATCTGAATTAATAGATAGTTATTTTTAAACATATTATTGATTAAAAAATCATATTATTATTGCCCTGGCTATAATAATACCATATTAGAATTAAATCAATTCCTTTAAAAGAGAGTAAAAATATTAATATAAATCATTAAATAATATATATTTTGAAATCTAAAATAATAATATTAAAAACTTAAATTTAAATATTTATTCATAGACAGAGTTCATTAAATAAGATCAGCTAATCATATTTTAGAATATTTAACAAAAATTAAAATTCAATCTATTTTAATTAAAAAAGGATTATTTTGACTTTGAAATAATATGAAGAAAATTAATTAAGTATAATACAGATTGCTTTAAGGTAGCAAGCATCTAAATAATCATGCTAATTTTGCCCTAGTTACGATAACACCACATCATATTAAAAATTATTTTAAAGAAGAATAAATCTATTTTAGAATCTATAAAGTATAAATTTTATGAATATATTTTATAAATAATTAGAATATTATTGGAAATTAGAATATTATAGCCAATTAGAATATTTAATTTAATTAGAATATTGAATTAAATTAGAATATTTAATGAAATTAGAATATTTAAGGCAAAAAGAATATTTAAATTAAATATTATACTTAAATTGATAGAGGCAAATGATTTTATAATAATTTATAAAGAGTAAAAAAAGGCTATTAAATTAAGTTTATTTATTTTACTTATTTTGAGTTTTTGAAATAAAGATAAAATATTTATTTAACATCATAAAAAGCTTTTAAAAAATAAAATAAATTAAAATATCATAAATCCTCATTAATTAAGATACCTCTTTTGCTACCTTTCCACAAAAAATTTACTTTGTTCGTATCTGACCTTTAATAAACAAATATTTTTAGATTAGAAAACATACATGAGTTAGTTAATCTAAGAGAATTAAATTTTTATCTTAAAATAAAGATAACTGGTTGAACTATTATTTTTTTATAACCATTATCACAGACTCAAACCAGGATAGCATAAAATTTGTTACTTACCTAACAATACTATTCATATTAAAATTTTAATTAAATAATGCAAACTCATTTTAAAATAATAAACTGATTTTTAAAAAAGGTTCTTTATCAACAAAAAAAAAATAAAACACCTAAACTTAACTCAGAAATTATCTTAATTTACCCTACTATCTCTCTACCTCCTTATTGACAGTCTACCTTATATATAACTCATTGAGCCTTTTACCTACCAATTTGCCAGATTGCTCACTTTTTTCTTAAATTCAACTCTAGCTAAGTGAAAGATTTGGTAAAATAATGATTATTTTGTTCAGCTTCTATAATTTCAACTTTCTTTTAGTACCAGCTTAGCTGAATTTTTCTTCAAGATTGTAGCCAACATCAATCTCTATGATACAAATGATTAAAGATATTTTATACACTCTATTCTTTAAGCACTCGCTGTAGTTCTTCCATATGATCAAGAAATATTTATATCTCCTCTTAATCATATGAAAGATTTCATTTACTAAAAGTTATTTACTGGATTATCGTCGTTTTAAGCACTCAAAAACTAATATTTTTCATTTTCTCTAAAATATGAAAACTTTTTTGAATAAAATATTTATATTTTTAAATGGAAAAATTTTTTTAAAATTTTTCTCATTAGCTTTTGATTAAAATAATTGTTCATCATAAAAAAAATCGTAATTACTTAATGATTAATTGATCTATCTTTAAAAAGTAAAAAACAAATTATTATTTCTAAATTTATTGTAAAAAATAAATATAAATATTTTGCTTTAATTAATATGCCATACAAAAATTTCTTGGCTTGCATTCCACTGATTATGAAATAGATTTTATATTTATTTATTAAAAAATATAATTTTTAAATTTTATAAAAGAATTTTTATTAATAATTTAATTTATAATTTCAAAAATAAATAATTTTTTTATATCAAAATTTTTTAATTTAGCTAAATTTTCTGAAGTAAGTGGGTTAGACAAAATACAGGATTGGGGAGTAATTTCTGCCTGTAGTGATTAAGAATTTCTAAATATTTCTTAAGAAAAAAAAGAATGAATTAATCATTCTAATTTCAAATTAAAATTTTTTGAAATGGCTTAATTTTAGTTTGGAAAATTAATTTTTAAATATTTGAACTTATTTTTAATGAGTTATTTATGAGTTTATCAATTTAAAGAAAAATAATAAAAAACATGAATTAGTAATAAAATATTATATATTTATATTCAATATAATTATTATTAACTAAAAATAATATTATCTTATTATAAAATCAAGAATACTTGGCCTTGTATGCTGCTATTAATTCTTTGCTACGACCATCTTTCTTTCCAATGTCTTTTAAAATTTATTCAACAAATAGGGTTGTTAATTATTTGGAGCTTTATGCAGAATTTATATCAAGATATTAACTTATTCCATTTGTTAATTTTGCAATATTTTCAAATGTACTTTTTGCTTGTGAATGGAGGTAAAATGCATTGACATGAATTTTTTTACTATTAAGTTTTTAACACTCTGGAACATAATAAGTTAATCCTTTTAGTGGAGTAGTATCCCAATAACTCTATCCAAACTAATTTCTATGAGCTTAAGCTTCATTCTATAGATGTGCTGGCTAATCCCCTAAAATGATTACTTGACTTATTGGGTTTTCATCATTTTATTTGTTAGCCCACCATAACCCTACTTCTACAGATTCTCCTGGACCTGTACCTCCAGAGGCTGTTATTGTTTATAAGAAAGACCTTAACTTATCTGGATTGTTTTCCCAAGTTGAAGTTTAGAATATCTCTTACCATCTGCTATTATAACTTCTAAAACAGCTTATCATGATTAAAAAACATTATGGATCATATCCTTTTTCTTTTAAGATATCTCTAGTTTATTCAAAAGTTGTCTATATTGTATTTTTTGTTTAAGTAATGAGACTACTCATTGATCCAGTAACATCCATAGCAATCAGAGTTTTATAATAAATTTATTCTTTTGGGCCTTAATTCAATTACAATAAGTAATTTTTAACTTCATTTAAATTACGATCTTTTAAAAAATTTAAGAAGTCCTCTGATTTTTTATGGCTAGTAATTGAGGTATTTTGATTATATTCTATATTACTTTTAAAGTCATTTTCGAAATTAACCTGACGATTTCTATCAAGGACTTCATATATTTCATCAAGATTCTCAATTTTCTTTTAATCTTCTTTTGTTTTAAGGAAAGCCTATAGAGTTTCTTATTGAAGAACCATGCTGAAAGAACCCTCTTCACCTTATCTTGCTGTCCTTCCTTTTGTCTAGGTCTCTTCAGACTTGTCCTCAGAAAAGAAAGTTTGAATTACATGAACTCCATAATTTTAAAATATAATAGTATCATTAACTTAGAAATCTATACCTCTACCAAAAATTTTGGTCAGTAAAGTAATTGCACCAGAGTATGTTGCATCTTTTATAATTTTCTTTCTTTCTTCAATTGAGTTTTCTTCTGTCATAATTTAAATCAAGGAATTTTATTTTAAGGATTTGAACTATTAACTATTGTAATAATCAAGTAAGATGTCTTTGGTATCAAAGAAAACAAGTACTGCTCTTTTTTAATCAGTTTTTCCAACTATATTTCTGTTTATTTCATTTGTAATAGTGTTATAATATTCTGATTAAGAAACTACTTTCACATCTTTTTAGGGGTTAAATTAAAACTTACTCTTCCCATATACTGATGGTATAAAAGTATATTATTTCATATTATAGGTGTTTTTTATTAATTCGAGTTGGCTTAAGCTTAAAGTTTCTAAAGTTCCAGTGACACCATTAATTATGAAAAATTTTTTAGGTAGCTCTGAATAACTAAAGCTTCCGCTGTTAATTTTGAAGAGCTTTTATTTTTAAAGACCTACATTTGAAATTTTTGAGTTCTAATTTTCCTGATAGTAGGTATACAAAGTTCTATATCCATATGAAATGTTATCAAGATATTAATCTTAATTTTTATAATAAATTTTATCATTTTAAATTTTATAATTTTCAATAATTACATTATTGAAATTTTTAAAATCAGAAACAACAATTTTTGTTTATTCTTTGATCAATTCAGCCCATTTAGGAAATTGAGATATGCAGTTTTTATACTCTTGAGACTCAGAAATAGATTTAAAACTAAAATTTGTATCAAATTTGGCACTCCATATTTTATCAAGCAATATTTCAACTGTTGAACCTTTGATTGGTGCCACTATGTCATAATTATTTCCAAAAAAGTCTTTACTAAAAAAGACATCTACTTCATCTATTAAGAGAACTTATTTCTTGATATTTGAATTATTTGAATATTTAATATTATCTGTTAAAATATAACTTGAAACTTGCTCTCTAATATCTCCTCTTTGGTTTAGTATTTCTTCGCAGACTTTGTTGAATGTTCCATACAAAATTAAATCTTTAATCTTTAATTTTTCAAACAAAAGTGAGAATTCTTCATAATCTCTGACACTAAGTTAATTACTGTAGCAAGCGCACTTCACAGAAAATCCGCAAAGAGAATAAAAGCATGCTAGAGCCGCCAAAACAACAGATTTTCCCTCACCAGTCAAGACTTACGCTAAACTGTTACACTATATTTCGTCATAATTTTTGGAGTAGCCTATACCTAAGAGCCTAAAAATTGCAACTATTTAAGAAGGATGAGGTTTTAATAAAAAGCTTTACTTGTTTTCATATTACTATTCTATTGATTCAAAATAATATTTTGAATTTATACAAGTCCAACAACAGAAAATACCTGCTAAAAGATCAGCAACTATAATCTAAGATGTTTATTCTATTTTTCCTTTTTTGTTAAACACATATGTGTTGATTTTATTTACAGAATTTTATATATCTTTCAAGAGATCAATAAAATTAATTTTCTCAAAAGAAGTTAAATATTTATCTAAATATTGGTTGTATTAATTAAAAAATCTTTCATATTAATTATTGAGTTAAGTTTTGTCTAAGTCATCTTTTTTATCGATATCAGAATAGCCCCTTACTTATTCTAAGACTTGATCAATACCAAACCTCTGTATTCTTAGATTTGTATCACTAATCTAAAATCCTTTGAAAAAAGGGTGATTTTTTGTTACTTAATCACCATATTTAGATTTTTTTAATTGAATTTATAACTTTTCTAGAGATCCTTTAGAATCTTTGTAATTTTTTAATACCTAGTTAATGTTTTCATTACATTCTGTTTTGATTTTTTCCATGTAGATGTAAGTTGAAGATATTTTATACATATTAGATATATACTCTGTAACTTATTCTATTTTATCAATTTATTTTGGCTCTTAAAACTACCTCTAAATTAAGATTAAAAATTCTGATTGCACAAATCTCTAATCAATACGCTTTTTTACAAAGTCCGTAGATGAAAAATATTAATCGATAAATTTTGAATTCAAATAAATATTGTTAATACTTTTAACAACACTCTCATCAAAAATGTCACCTTAAAAACATTAATTAAGATCTTAATTTATTGATTCAACAGTTTAATTTAATTTTGATAGCAAGTCCTGAAATACATTTTTATGTTGAGCTCCTAAATTAAATTGCTACACTATATTTTGCATTTCTTAAGCATTTTACAAGCCTTTTTAAAAAGACTGGTAGTAATCTTCATACTCTTTCTAAATTGTAAATGTATTAACATTCTTTGACATAATTTATTCCATCTATTTCTACAATTTTTATTGTTTAAAACCTAAATTTTCTATTAATTCATGGTACGATTCAAAATCAAAATGTTAAAGTTAGTAAATAATATTAAATTAATCCTTGAAATAAGTAAAATCTTCCTCGGTATTTTTAATTTACTTTACTTTTTCTTTTAGATTGATGGTAACTTTTGATTTTTATTCTTAAATTTAATCAAACACATAGAAATAATCAAGTCCTTTTAAAAACTCCAACTCTAAATCTTATATTTTGCCTTAAACTTTTAGCAAAGAATTACTTAGCTAGCAATAATGAATAAAAAATTCAATAGATTTTTCAGGGTTACTAATTTTTTTATTCAAAATATTTTGTATTTATTTTTCAGCTTCTTTAAATTAAACACAAAATAATTGCTCAAAAACATTATTTAATTTTTCTTTTACTTAATATTAATATTAGCCTGTGCTTTAAATACCAATCTTAATTAAATTCAAAATACATTTCTCAAAGTTATTGTATTCTTTACAATTAGATATAATTTGTTTATAGGTCTATTCAATTTCTTTTTCCATAAAATCTTCAAACTGGTTTTTAAATTGTTTATAATAACTTGAATCAACTAGTGTTTCTTATAGCTTCCTAAGTCCTGTAATATTTTTTTGTTTAAAGCAACTATCAATTTCTTCTTATATTTTATCAATATTTTTAATGTTTTCTATTAATTAGTTCAAAGATTTAATCATTTCCTTAGGAATGTAATCAAAAAAAAATTAAACTCTTCTGATAGCTCCCTCTTGCTAGTTTATTGGTCTATCTCTTACTTGTTCCAGTTTATCTTCCAGTTTTCTCTAGAAAATGTATTAAAGCTATTTAGAAAAGTTTTAATAAAAATCGTCATCTTCTACCTTCTCTAACCTGCCACATATGTGATTCAAATCAAATCTTTCTGTTTTTGGATTATCTAAATTTAAATTCTCTACTGTTTATTAAAGTTCTTCGAAGCAGTTTTCTTAAATTTATCTTAATTTATCGAATTCTTCATCTATTTAAAATTATTGTTAAAGGATTTTAAAAATTTCTAACATAAATTTATATTAATCATTAGATTCTTTGAAATTATTGTTTTTGAACGTTTATTTTATTTTTTTGGGTCCTTCATGAGCAATATATTAAATGCTGCTTTTAATTTATTCAATGTAAGACTTAAATTTATGTTCATCCAAATAATCCCTAAAATGATAAATATAATCATTGAAACGCTTATATAGGTTAATAATTTAATTTGCATTTTCCATTTATTCTTTGAGTTGACTGTTAATAGGTGAATAAGTGATTATTTATTTGAGCTTGTCAGCATATTACTAAATTTATGTTATGATTTTTTTCATTTCGTTTTCAAGCTAAAACTTTAAATCATTCAAAATCATTTGATGTTCTTTATTTTCATGATTTTACATAGTCTATTCATAAAGCTATTTATAAGTAGCTAGCATTTTTGGAAGATGATTGTCATTAAACTATTTCTCTAATCCATCTTTAAGACTTTGAACATTAAGTTTATTCTTAGTATAGGTTTCAGAGAGTAAACTAGCAAAAGAAAATTAATTTTAAGGAGTACATTCTAATTCATCTAATATTTTCAGTTGCTGCAAAATGAAAATCCACTTTTATTAAACGTGCTCATTCTCATCTACAATCTCCTTTATTTATCTCCATAGTCTCTTAAGAAAATTGAATTATTATGTAATTAAAAAGTTACTTCTATTTTACTCCAGTTTATATTTTAATTCACTGAAATTTTCAATCTTTGACATTTCTTCAAACTTATTATAGATGTTTTTTGAACAATCTTCAATTTACTTTCTCTCTTCGTTTGTTAAAGAAGTATTTTGAAATATTATCTTTATCTATCCAAAAGACTATTAAAGAGACTTCTCTTTTTCTAAGCAGTGGTTTATTAAATTTTGATTCAAATCATCTAGCATTTTTTGAGTTTCCTATCTATAAATTATATTTGAAATGCATTTCTATAAGAATTAGTAACACTTTTAGTACTCCCAATAAGGAATATCTTATGACTATGAAAGTGTCTTTATTTTAACAAAGTATGGCTCAAACTTCTTCCTAACCTCAACTTCATACTCATTTACTATTATTCTTAATTCTTCATCTAAATTTGAAAAACTTTTTAGCTTCTTCATTTTTTCATTGGAGCTTGTTATTTTGTTGAACTCTTCTGTTTAATCTAAAGTGATTTCTATAGAATCTAAATTTTCCATAATTTTATTGGCAAACTTCCTCAAAGAGTTAAATATCTTTTACTTTTAAGAATCATACTCTTATTCTTAATCTAGCTCTTAGATCCATTAACATCCTTAAATTAATGAAAGAGTTTCTTCTAGATTTTAGAATAGCATTTCTAATTAATTTGCATCACTATTTGTTTGCAAGTCCCTTATCGTTTAACTGACTTTTATTGATATTTTAGCAATTCTTGAATTTATGAAACTTATTAAACTTGTAAATTGTTACTCAAGTTTACATTAAAGCTTAGATAATATCTAAAGTTAAACAAATCTTTATTTTAATCCTTACAGATCACTTGATTCCTCGTTTATCACAGCTTTGACTTTTTCCTCAAGGGTTTAGTATTCTCTTTCTATTTGTTCTCTGTATTAATTTTAAAAATTATTTATCTTTTCTTTACAACATTCATCGTTTAATTTAGATTTTTTGAATTCGTAGAGAATAAATTGAATTTTTTCTTTAGCTCTTTGTATATCTGTTTAATTTTATTCAGTCATCTTTGCTGTTAATTCTTTTATTTTTTCAAAAATTGTCAGCTATTAGTTTTCCATAACTGAAATAACTGAATCAAAATTCTTAACAATTTAACTTTTAACATCATGAACAGGTAAAAATGTGCAGCTCTCTATATAGTTGATAATTTGCTGCATCTCATCGAAAAAATCAACAAATTTGTCTTGTTCTAAAAAGCTTTCTGACTTTTTCAATTGTTTTGAAATGTTTTCCTTCACTTAAGCAATAAATAAATGAATGGATTATTCATCTTTAACCACTTTTGCTAAAAATGACAACTTCTAGTAATATTCATTTACATTATTTTAATAGTATGAAACAAATTCCAACTTCAAATTTTCTAGTAGTGCTGCAATAGCTCTTGACAAGGCTCCATCTAATTTTTTCACCAAATTTTCAGCTTAAGGTAAAAGATCATATAAAATATCTATTTTAGAAAGTTCTAATTTAGTATTTAAAAAATTAGTAATTTATTGTTCATCGATTTTCTTGAGATTAATAATTTACTAAACAAATTAGTCAACACTTTAAATTTCACTATTTATGTATTCATCAAGTAAAGTAATGTTTTGCTCCCATTAATTAGCTATAGATGATAAATCTGGTATATTTTTTTTTAACAAATTTAATTAAGTAAGCTTTTTAAAAATCAGTACAAAATTTCTTTTTTATAAAGCTGTTTGTATTCTACTTTGATCTTATTTTAACTGCTGAGAAATGGAAGTTTCTGCTTCAGATGTAAAAAAACAAGTAAAAGCATCCTTTGGCATTTGAATAGCTTATTTATTTTTAATATGACTCTATATGAACTGATATCCCTTGATACTCAAATCAAAGAAAACTATGTTTTTTTCATCTTAAGTTTATTATAACATAGCTTTAAGGACAGAAATAAATTCTTAATCTTTTTTTTAATCTGCGTTTAAATTTTGTAAAATATTTTAGAGTTTTTTGTGAAGTTGCTCCTTTTCCTTCTCATTTTAGAATTTAGAGAAGACAAATATGAATTTTCGAATTAGTTATTGAAAATTTTATTTAGGATTCACCATTTTTTTAATTACGTTTGCAAGACTTTTTATTCCTAAGCCTCTATCACAGATTTATTTTTCACTGATTATTACAACAGGTTTTATGCTCTTACAAACTGAAATGCATTTATAAATTCCAGTTAGATTTGAAATTTCTGCTTCTAATCCTTCTGAATCAAAAAAACCAGGAGTATCGCAAATGTTAATTTCATCATCATCACCATACTCATTTCCTTCTTAGTCTGAAGGCTTGATTTTAACAAGAGTGACAAACTTTGTTTCTGATTTTGCATCAGGTTTAGAAATAACACGATCTAAAGCTTTGTATAAAGGATTAGCGGGTTCCCAGTGATATAATCCATTTTAACTGATTACTTATTAAATTTTTGATCCTGCTAAGTAGTGAATGAAAGTACTCTTTCCAGTACCTGTGAATCCAAGAACCATAACAACGTCCTAATTATTCATCTCTTTGCTAGAAATATAGGATTCACTTACCTCATCTGATATTTTTTGGAAATTCAAAGGATTGATTGCTTCAAACAATCTGCTAATTTATATTTCTGCCTTTTCAAAGTTTTTATTTTTATACTCTTGTAGGCTATCTTCAAATAATGGTTTTATTTATCTAATAGTAGCTTCACTTTCTAACATTATCTATTCATTTATGCAATTAAAAAGAGGCATACATTCTACATTTGAATGCTTTCGATTTAAATATTTTAGCAATTGTAAAATGAAATCATCTAAGCAAAAGTTATTAAATTTTTCTTCATGATCAAATATCATTTGTTAATCTACTTATTATTCTGGAATTTAGTTATAAGATTAGATATCTTCTTCATCATTGCTTGAAAAGTCTAACTCCATTTTCTTTTAGTTATTTGTTTAATTTTATTTAATTAATTTATTTATTTATTAAAATATTAAATAAAGGTAAAAGATAGTTTGTATTTAAATAATAATCTGATGAATTAGAATATTTTAGATTTAATGATTTAAATTTCAATTTTTTTTGGGGTTTAATAAGATGATTGATTTTTGAACATATTTAAGATCCGAATTAATTGATAAATATATAAAACCACAATTAACACTTTGCTAGAGATAAATCCCTCAATTTATCATACAAACAGAGAATAGAGACCATTTTAAAATTGAGCACTATGAATCGAATTATTTTAAATTTTTGAAATAGTATTTATTTTTTAGAATATTTAAATAAAAATTACTTTTACTACTCTCAAAAATAATGTTTATAAATTATTTAAGGGTATAAATAATATAAAAATTATAAAAAAAGATAAAAATTTTAAACACCATAGTTATTTCTTAGGAAGGTATCGATTAAAAAAATTATATTATTTTTTCCCTAGCAATTATAAAATCATTTAAAAGAGAATATATGTATTTAAAAATTATTAATAAATAGTAAATAATAAATATTTAGAATTATTTTTAGATAAATATTTTATGAATTACAGTCAATCCTAAACATAGTTAGAAAAAAAAACTTTGAAAAACACTAAAGCTATAATAAATTACAAAGGCTTTAAAAAGATAAAAAAAGAGAGTATGAGGCTTATTTATAGGGTATTTATTATTATACTTAGGTAAAATATTTAAAAAGGCAGAGAGTTTAGCAAAAGATTTATTTAATAAATTAACTTACATGCGTTTTTATTGACCTGTGAATAAAATAATATTAAAATCTTAAATTTAAGGTAGTTGTTATTCAAAAGAAGAGATCTATTAAATAAATAATGCCAATCATAATTTATAATATTTGACAAGTATTATAGTTCAATCTACTTTAAGATAACTAGATAGAATAAAGTTAAGTGATTATAATACATATTATGTAAAGTTAGTATGGATCAGATTAATCATATTATGTTTGCCATTTTTATAATAACTTTGCATCATGCTAAGGTTAAATAAAATACTTTAAAGCAGGATAAATATATTTTAGAATCTATAAATAAATTGCAAAGTATACATACATACATCTTATGAATATGTTTTATAAAAGAAATAATAATTAAATTAGAATATTTAACGAATTAGAATATTAATTGTAATTAGAATATCAAACGTAATTAGAATATTAAACAAAATTAGAATATTAAACACAATTAGAATATTTAACGCTATTAGAATATTTAACGCAATTAAAATATTTAAGGTAATTATAATATTTTAAGTTAATTATAATTTAATGCAATGATTATATTCAACGTAATAAGAATATTTTAGGCAATTAGGATAAGTAAATTGTATAGAAAAAATTATCTATTATTAATTTATAAGAAATCAGTATGTAAACAATAAAAAATAAGTGGTATTTAATTTGCTTTTGAGTAGTTTAATATTTAGATATAATATTTAATATCATACAAAGTTTTAAAAAAATAAACTAAATTAAAATAATATCAATCCACATTAATTAATGTACCCATTCGCTACTTTTCTCCAAAAATCTTTACTTTTTATGAAAAAAAAAATAATTTTAAATTTTGAAAAGTTTTTACAAATTTTAATTTATTACAGTTAAAAAACGACTTATGTAAAATTTTTTATTACTAAAAAATTATCTAAAGTATTTTTAAAAATTATTTAAATGAAAAACAAGAACAAAAATGGAATTAAAACAAATAACCAAATATTATTTCTATAATTAAACTTAAATATTAAATAAGAGTTTGTTAATTAATTAAATTTTTCATTTTTTTATCAATAAAAAAAAACTGAGCAAATTAATTTTTCTTTTTTTGAGTTTATCTTGTCATGGTACATACTTTATAATCAACCATCTGATTCTATAAAATTACTTTCATCATTTAACTCTACTTAGCTGTCTTCTTATTCTATAGAATTCATCTATTCAAATGAATCTGCTTAATTGTCTTCTGATTCATAACTTTTTTCAGAAAATGAAGATTCACTAAAATTATTTAAATTTTATGCTCAAATTTTATTTGATTTTATAGAATTTATAGAGTTATCAAAATCCCATTAAAGTTCTTATATTTCTTCATTAGCTCTTTCCGAATTGAAATTCCCTTTAGAGTCTCCATCATACCAACCCAGTTTCTTTGCAAAAGATACTGTTACTAGCCTTTTTATTTTGTATATTTGTGATAAATTGACTTAATCTTTAGAAAAATTATTATATAGATTTCCATTAAAAACATAAATAAATTTTAATTTATTACAATTTGTTGAATCTATTTATTTGATAATATTTTTTAAATTATACTTTTATGAATTTCCCCCCAAATAAAAACCTAATATTATGTTTAATTACTGAATTTATTAGCAACCTGATAAATCAAATTATTAAGCTTCATAATTATTTATTATTAGACTTAACTGCTATAGATGAGTAAATTCTGATATAAATTTTGCTCCTATTGTAATATTTCTATTTTATTTATATTCATTTATGTAGCTGGATCCAAATATATTTAAGCCTTACTCTAAATGCAATTGGGCTTCAAAAGGCTCTTTAAAACTTTAAAACTCTTGAAGGTTAAAAATAATATAAGGTCCTTTGCCTATTAAATAATACATGTTATCATCAAATATTAATATTTTTATTGCTAAGGGATCACTAAAACGAGATAACTTAATATTTAAAATAGCAAATTAATAATGTTAAAGAAAATTAATTTCTTTTTAATGTAATTCGTTTAAATTTATGATATGGCTAATATTAAAATCTTATTATTTTAAATCTATGTTACCAGCAGCTAGGTTAATTATATTTTATTATCTAAAATTGGTTAATAAATCTGCTTGAGTATAATTTTCAAGATTTTGTTCTTTGTCCTCATTCTGTTATTCATGTTTCATTTTTTAAATGGTTTAATCTTAACTAAAATTTTATACATTGAATTCAATTTTTAATTCGCCTGTTTATTTTAGTAAAAATTCACTTAATTATTTTGAATAATATTTTATAAAATCGCTCTCATAAGTTGAGAAAAAGGTATTTAGCTCTTTTACATTTTCTTTTAAATATTTATAAAAACTATTTTCTTCTGGGTTATCATTTATCATACCTAATATATATTTTTATTTAATTTTGAATGAATCATCTTCCAATTTCAAATTAGTAATTTTAAAAAATTAATTTTTGTTCTAAAGATTTAAAACAGAATCGAGACTTGTACATTAATCTAAATTTACAGATATTTAATTCATATGTTTTTTAGATATTTTTATTTTTAAATCACTTTTTAAAAGGAGATCATTATTTTCGATTAAACTTTACATGTAATTATATAAGCTAGAAACTTCCTAAAGAGATTTTTCATTTATTTTTTAAAAGAATGTCTTTGCTAAATTATTCAACATTCCTCTATGATTTGTTAAACCAACTTTATCACAATCATATTAATTAAAAATACAATCTAAAAAAATTTCACAATATTCAGAAGAATAATCACTTAAGCTTATATCATCGATATAAAAATCGAAGATATCCTAACTTTGTTAATTTTTTTGAGTTTTAACTAACAAACTTGAAGGAGGAATATTATTTATTGATAGTCCATTATTTATTAGCAGATTGTAACAAAATTAGATTAATTAAGATATCGGAGCACATTTTAAATCATATACACTTATTTAATCGTCCTAAATTGAAATTTTTTCAGCTAAAATGTAAAAACCTGTTTCAACAGTAATTATCTCAGATTGTATAAAATTAGAACATAATTATTTTTTATTTTCTATGAGATATTAGTGTTTCGTTATCACCTATTCCGCCTTACTGATTTAATTAAATTTTTCAGCTATTAATCTGATTTTTTAGCCCCTCTTTTATACTATGAGCTCAAAATAATTATTGTCCAACCTTTTTATCTCAAAAGCATCATAAAGGGGATGTTACTAAATAATCGAAAAAATTTCTAATTGATGAAATTGTAAAATTTTTGAAAATTTATCTTAAATTAAATCAGACAAGTCATTCTTTTTTATTTTAACATTAACTTGCTCACATAAATCTTTCAATATCCCTTTTATTTTTTCACTATCTGCCAAGTCTTGAAAAACTGTTTGTTCTAATTCTAGCTCATTTGAATCATTTTCAATTTAAAGTTCATCTTTATCTTTATGAGAAACTTTGTTATTTGTAAAATAACTATTCGAGCGTTTATTTTCATGAATTAAATTTATTTTTACTTCAATCTTATTAGAATTAATGACGTTTACATAAAACTATGATATATTGCAATGATAGGTATCATTTTCATAAAATTAACTTGTTATATATTAACCTATTTCTTTTAACAAAGGATCAAAAATATTGCTATCCAGTTTATACAGGTTTATAAATTGTAATAAAGTCATATTGCAATACTCCATTTCATAAATATAAAAGAGCTAATCTGTATCTAAAAAGTATTAGTCTAACAAATTTAAAAAGATGTCATTTCTAAAAGATTTGTTAAAAATTTCTTAATATTTTTCTAAATATTCAATTCCTTTAGACTTTAAAACTATCAGCATTTTTTTCTTTTATTCTTTGACATCAAAGACTATTACATGACAGAATATATTTTAATTTTCTTCGTAAGAAAGAGTCTCTTAAACGATTTTCTTAAATTCGAACTGAGGTTTAAAACACTTTAAGCATAGCATTAGATAGCTTTTTTGAACTAGCTCTTCATAGCTAATTTTACTTTATTTTTTTACAGTTTTAGAGTTATCCATTTTCATTTTTAATATTAGTATTTATCTTTTAGATTATTTAATTAAAATATATACTTATTTGATTGTTTGTTTGTTCCTTCTTTTTAAATAAATCAAAAAGATTTTCGCTCTTAAAATTAATCAGATTGTTAATTTAAAATTTGAATTCACTGTAGACAATAAATTTTCACTAAATTTACTTTTTTTTAATTTTTGCAGATTATTTTTAAATACCAAATTAACTTATTTAGAGAATGAATAACTGACAACTATTATAAAAATAAGTCACTATATTATATATTAATGATGCGCAGTAAATTAAAATTCATCCAACTTTCATTTAATTAGCACTTACTTTACTTTATTATGTTTTGTATTTTTATAAATAGACAAATTTGATATACACAATTAATTATCATTGAGATCAAATAACAACCAATATTAAGCGGTAACAAAAAAATTCTAATCGATGTATTCTTATTTAAAATCAATTAATTATCCTGTGAGATCTAATAATATTTTTGAATGAATGAAGTAGAAAAATGTCATAACAATTATTATTATTATTTGATAAAATTAAATACATATTTTAGCTAACCTCCTTCAATTTAATATTTTGTCAAATCAATTTTTATTATTGCTATTATTTTTATTTAGGTAAAAACAAAAATAATATGAGCATTTATTCATTTTAGATACTAATATTAAAGCGCCAAAATTTTTAAATTATAGTAGGAACTAAAAATGAAATATAATTAATTAAATTTGGCTTGAATTTAAATAAATATTAATTAGTTATTGACTAAAACCAATTAATCATTTTGGATGGTTTATTTTTATCAATTACTTAAAATTGAAAATGCTCTAATTTTTAATATTTAGACTCTTCAATATATCTCAAGAAAAGATCTTTGATATCATAAATCAAATGAATCCATTTTTTAATATTCTAATTTTTCAAAAATGTTCTAAATATGAATTATATAAATTAAAATAAAAAATAAATAAATAAAAATAATTAGAAAATAAATTCTAATCTACAGATTTAATATTTTATCATTAAAAAAATTTAGATTTATTAATTTTAATGAATTTATGTAATAATAATTATAACTTTTATTTATTTATTTATTTTTAACAGATACTTGGTTAGCTTTTTAAACTATTTGAAAAGATGTAAATTAATTATTTATTAATTAGTCAAAAAAGAATTAATTTTAAATAGATTAAAAATGCATACAAAATATTGAAATAATAAAATATTTTTTAATTTTTTGAAAATAATTATGAAAAAAAATCAAAAAAATTATCAATCTGATTTTTTTTTTTCAGAATATATCATATATATTATATTAATTTTGTGAATTTAAAGCATTCTAAAAACTAAAAAATAAAGCTGATTAAATCTAATTTAGCTTTATTTATTATTTTAATGAGATATATTAAATTTTACCTTTTTTAAATAAAATAGGTATTTCACTCTAGTTAATTAGTAGGAAAAAATGAAGAAAAAATATTAAAACATAAGATTAATAATTAATAAAATTAACAAAGAATCAAATAAAAAAAAAGAAATCATTATAAAAAGAAAAATGAAAATAAATTAAAAGAAAGAGCTTTAATGTTTTAAATTAACTTTTATAATTAAAAATATTACAATCCAAAACAAATAAACTGCTTTTATTAAGTGTAAGTTTTAAAGCAAAAAATAAAGAAAAAATATCAAATAATAAAATTAACTTAAATAGCTAAAAAAGTTTTGTTTTAATAAAATCTATGAATAATGATGATAATTACTCTAATAAAAATTATTATTTAAATAAATTGAAAGTTAAATTTATAAAAATATTAATAATAATAATAAAAATAATATTTATAAATAAAATATACTTGAGATCAATATGGAGAACCTAATGAGATAAAAGTGAAGAGCTTAAAAACTTTTTTTATTAATTTATATAAATATAAAGGATATTAATAAAAAAATTAATAATTACTTCTTCTAATCTATAGTATTATTTAATCTATTATATCATTTATTTTTTTTTTCAAAATTATAGAATAGCAATTTATGGAATTTAATTAATATAAATGGAAAGAAAGAACAAAAAAAATATAATAATTAATTATCAAATCTTAATTTATAAATTTGGCTTTATGAAGAGATACCACATAAAAATTAATTTAACATTCATTATTTAATCTTAATATTTGTATTTACTTAAAAATATAGTAGGAATTAAAGATGGCTAGTTAGTTAGTCATATTTGTAAAAATTCTAGTAATTAATTAAGGTTCTTAAATTTTATAAAAATAATATTTATATGTAGATTTTTCTGTTTTAGCTCTGTAATTAATGGTAGGAATATTTATAATATCTCTAATTATTCTTTTTAAATTATTAAAAAATTAACTAAAAAAATTTTTAAAAAGAGCAATTTATTTTATAAATAAAACTTTTATAAAAAATAAAACTCATAAGATTTTAAATAACAAATAAATTTAATTTTTAAAGTTAAAAAAGAAGGTAAGGTTGCTGCAACCTCAAAATTAAAAAATAAACTCCAATTTTTTAAATAAATTTTTAATTTGTTTGTTTGTTTTAGTATTTTGTTTCATCGATCATATTTATTTGCTCTCATTAATTAATTGTCTTCTGATTCATTATTTTCTACAGAAATTGAAGATTCATCAGAACTATATAAAATTATTTAAATTATATGCTTATTTTTTATTTAATTTTATAGAATCTATAGAATCATCAAAATTCTATTAAAGTTATTCTAATTCATAATCTTATTTATATATATCAATAGAGCCATTAGAGTCTCCATCATACTAACCCTATTTACTTGCAAAAGATACTGTTACAAGTCTTTTTATTTTGTAAATTTGTGATAAATTGACTTCATCTTGATAATAATTTTCGTATTAATTATGAACATAAATAAATTTTAATTTATTACAATTTGTTGAATCTATTTATTTGATAATATTTTTTAAATTATACTTATTCCTGTTATGATAATGTTAACTGAAAAATACTAATGTTAGATTTAATTACAGAATTTATTAGCAACCTGATAAATCAAATTAGTAATCTTTATAATTATTTATAATTAGACTTAGCTATTATAGATGAGTAAATTCTGACAAAAATCTTGCTGCTAATGTAGAATTTCTATTTTGTTTGTATTCATTTATGTAGCTGGATCCAAATACATTTAAGCTTTACTTTAAATCTTCTTCTACTTCATATATCTCTTTAAAACTTTAAAACTCTTGATGATTAAAAATAATATAAGGTTTTTAACCTATTAAGTAATAAACGTTATCATCAAATATTAATACTTATATTCCTTTGCTCATATTTAAAATAGCAAATTAATAATTTTAAAGAAGATTAATTTCTTTTTAAGGTAATTCATTTAAATTTATGATATTACTAATATTAAAATCATCATATCTTGAATTTATTCTGTCAAGCTAAATTATATTTTATTATCTAAAATTGGTTTGTTAAATTCTTTGAGTAGTTTATTGTTCAATATTTTGTTAATTTTATTCAATCTGTTATTCATTTAAAATATCAAATTAATAATTTTAAAGAAGGTTAATTTCTTTTTAAGGTAATTCATTTAAATTTCTGATATTACTAATATTAAAATCATCATATGTTGAATTTATTCTGTCAAGCTAAATTATATTTTATTATCTAAAATTAGGTTGTTAACCTGCTTGAGTAGTTTTTTGTTCAATATTTTGTTATTTTTATTCAATCTGTTAATAATGTTTATTTTTTTAAATGGTCTGCTCAATTTAATCTTATCTAAAATTTTTTCCATCGAAATATATCAATATTTTACCTATTTGCTTTAGAAGAAACTCACTTAATTATTTTGAATAAAATTTTATAAAATCATTCTCATAAATTGAGAAAAAGTTAATAATATTTTCTACTTCACTCTTTTTTTAATAATTATAAAAACTATTTTTTGGTTAATCCTTTATCTCATTTAACAAATCAGTAGTTTTAGTATTGAAAGAATCGTATGCCAATTTCAAATTGGTAATTTTAAAAAATGAATCTTTTTTTTATAAATTTAAAACCTCTCGATATCTATTTTCTAAAATTACAGATATTTAGTTCATATGTTTTTTAGATATTTTTATTTTTAAACTATTATAATAAATGTAATGATAATTTTCTATTAAATTTTATATGTCATTAAATAAGCTAGAAACTTCCTACAGAGATTTTTCATTTATTTTTTAAAAGAACATCTTTGCTAAATTATTCAACATTCCTCTATGATTTTTTAAACCAACTTTATCATAATAATCATTTTATTTAAAAATAAAGTCTAAAAAAATTTCACAATATTCAGAAGAATAATCACTTAAGCTAATATCATCTATAATAAAATTGAAGATAAGTTAACCTTGTTAATTTATTTTAGCTTCAACTAACAAACTTGAAGGAGCAATATTATTTATTGATAGTCCATTCTTTATAAGCAGATTGTAACAAAATTAGATTAATTCAGATAGCGGAGCACATTTTAAATCAAGTAAACTTATTTCATCTTTATCAATCGATACTTTTTCAGCTAAAACATAGAAACCTTTTTCAATAATAATTATCTCAGAGTTTATAAAATTAGTATATAATAATTCTTTATTTTCTAAGAGATGTTAGTGTTTCGCTATCACCTATTCCGCCATACTGATTTAGTTAAATTTTTCAGCTATTAATCTGATTTATTAGCCCCTCTTTTCTACAATGAGTTCAAAGTAATTATTGTCCAACCTTTTAATCTCAAATGCATCATAAAGGGGATGTTACTAAATTATCTAAAAAATTTCTAATTGATGAAATTGTAAAATTTTTGAAAATTTATTTTAAATTAAATCAGACAAGCCATTCTTTTTTATTTTAACATTAACTTGCTCACATAAATCTTTTAATATTCCTTTTATTTTTTCACTATCTGCCAAGTCTTGAAAAACAGTTTCTTCTAATTCTAGCTCATTTGAATTATTTTCAGTTTAAAGTTCGTCATTATGAGAAATTTAGTTATTTCCCAAATAATAAAGCGAGAGTTTATATTCATGAATTAAATTTATTTTTACTTCAATCCTATTTGAATTAATCACATTTACATAATACTAAGATATATCAAAATTAAGAGTAAAGATTTTATCATATTAACTTGTTATATATTAACCTATTTCATTTAGCAAAGGATCAAAAATTTTGCTATTCAGTTTATACAGGTTTATAAATTGTAATAAAGTCATATTGCAATGCTCCATTTCATAAATATAAAAGAGCTAATCTGTATCTAAAAAGTATTAGTCTAGCAAATTTAAAATGATGTCATTTCTAAAAGATTTGTTTAAAATTTCTTAATATTCTTCTAAATATTTACTATATGTATACTTTTAAACAATCAGCATTTTGTTCTTTTACTCTATGACATCAAAGACTATTACATGGCAGAATATGTTGTAAGAAGGAGTCTCTTTAACAATTTGCTTAACTTCAAACTGAGGTTTAAAGCACTTTAGACATAGCATAAGATAGCTTTTTTGAATTAGCTATTGATAGCTATTTTCACTATGATTTACAATATTAGGGTTAATCATTTTAAATATTCTTTAGATTATTTAATTAAATTAAATATTAATTTGTTTGTTTGTTTATTTTTTCCTTCTTTTTAAATAAGTCAAAAAAGATTTTCTTTCGCTCTCAAAATTAATCAGATTGATAATTTAAAATTTGAATATACTGTAATTAGTATGTGTGAAATTCCAATAAATTTTCACTAAATTTACATTTTTTTTAATTATGGATACCAAATTAACTTATTTAGAGAACAACTCCAACATACTATAAAATAAGTCACTACATTATATATTAATGGTGCACAATAAATAAAAATTCATCCAGCTTTCATTTAATTATCACTTTTTTTATTTTGTCTTGTATTTTAAAAATCAAAAAATATATTATAGACAAACATCATTGAGATCATATAATAACTAACATTAAGTGGTATCAAAAAAATTCTAATGTATGTAATTTAATCAAAATCAAATTAATTATCTTTTGAGATCTAATATAAAATTAGAATGAATGGAGTAGAAAAATATCCTTACAAAATAATTGTACTAATTAATTGTGGCTTATTTATGAATTATTTTACAAACAAATTTTCTTTTTACTGACATCAATTATTAATTGTCAAATCCATTATTATTATTATTTATTTAGTTGCAAAACAAAAATAAAAAAAGCATTAATGCTTTTTAGAAACATAAATTAAAGCAATAGTCAGTCTTTAATTGCTAACAGGAACCAAAAATAAAAAGTGGATTAATTAGAATCAGTTTTAATTGAAATCAAAAAATTGCTTTTCTTGTCTAAAACTAATTTATTAAAAATTATTTTAGATGATTTATTTTTATAAATTTATTCTAATTTAGTAATGTAATTTTTACTTTCTAGACTCTACACTATATCTTTAATAAGGAAATTTAATGTTATAAATGAAAAAGCTCAAAAAACTAAATGATTTTTTATTAATCTTCAATAAAATAATAATAAAATACATTAAATATTCAAAGTTAATTTACTGCTTAAAAGCATATAAAAATATAAAATAACAATTAAAATAATACATAAAAAATCGTTTCAGTTAAGATTTATATAAATTTTTGAATTGTATTAGTCTTAATTATTAGTAAGAAAATGCTGCAGTTAAATTTGCTTTTAAAAGATAAATTAAATAAAACCTTCAACATTTAACTTCAATAACTAAATAACTAACTAACTAAGATAGAAGATAGATCTTGAAATATTTTTTTAAAATTAAAATAATATGTTATTTTCTCAAAAAAATATTTAAAAATGTTAAAAGCTAAAATAAAAGACAAATTTAGCATATTTTTATTATTTTCTTTTCTGCATATAAAATTTATTAGCTTTAAATTTTAGTTTATTACTTAAAAATAATTTAGCAGCTTTTAGTAGAGAAATTTCTATCTAAAAAATAAAATAGTATCTAAGTAGAAGTAAATAAGTTAGCAACTTTATGGATTTAAAAAGAATGAATGATCGATCTTTCACTTAAATTATTTTTATAAGAGAAATAAAATAGATTAAATGAAAAAATAATTTAAAAATAGACAAAATCAGTATCTATCTATCTAATCCATCTTCTTATCCATCAGAAATGCTAATAATGAAGGTGCTTGTTATAAATAAGAATTTGTATGAATTGGCATAATTAGTGCATAATTGAGAATTGAATGTAGATAATTGACTATAAAACCAAAAACTTTTATATCAGTTTATATGTAAGAAAGATAGATATCTTTAAATAAATAAAATATAAAATTGTATAAATAATTAAAGATAAGGTTTAACTAAAACTAATAAACGAATACAAACAATTTAAAAAGGAAGATTCTTCAAAATGAGATAATTTATTAGAGGCTCACTCAATTTAGCTCAAATAAGCAAAACTTAGACTTTAAGTATGCAATAGAAACACCATTTATTTTTATTTATAGCATTAGAATAAAGAGACGAACCGCATTTTACAAATATTTTATTTTTCAAATAATAGGAAATAAAGCAAATAACGAATTCATTCTTAATGCATTAAGTCCCTTAGATGGTAGATACGAAAAGAATATAGTTAGTTTGAAGGAATATTTCTCTGAAAAGGCACTTATTAAGTACTAAAAAAAAGATGTTTGAAATTTTTGCTTAAAAGACTTATAAAATAAAAATATTAGGTATCGTATCAATGTTGAAGTTGAATGGTTATCATTTTTGATTGAAAAGAATATGGTCAAGAACGAAAGGGGAGAATCAATCAAAATTTCACCTCTAGATTTAGGTATAGAGATTAAAAAATAGTTAGTTGCAGATATTTTAAGCGATAATTTTATTATTTAGTTCATCTCGATGCAATTTAGCAAAAGTTTGACATTGAAGGAGCCAAAAGAGTAAAAGAAATTGAAAGCATTACTAATCATGATGTTAAGGCAGTCGAATACTACATTAAGGAACAATTAGAAAAAAGTAAGTGTTGCTTTATTTGACAATTTGTAGCTAATATCCATTCCTTTCCTTTTAACAAATTATAAAAGTTCCAGTCTTTAATCAAGTTAAGGAATACGTCCACTTCTGCTGCACATCAGAAGATATTAACAATTTAGCATATTCTTTGATGCTCAATGATGCTAAAAATAAAATATTATTAAAAACCTTAGAAGAAGTTTAAACTAATCTCATTTCAATGGCTGAAAATGTAAAATCCTTCTTTCCTCTAATTATTTTAATAAGTTATTAATTCATTTAAATAAATTTTTAATAAAATTTATTAGAACTCAGCTGTTCCCATGCTTAGTAGAACTCATGGACAAGTTGCTTCTCCTACTACTGTAGGTAAAGAATTAGCAAATTTCGCCTACAGAGCTAACAGACAAATTAATCAAATCAAAAATGTAAAAATTTTTAAAATTATTATTATTTAATCTTAAAAAATATTTTTAAAATGTAAATAAACAGGCTAAGTTCAGTGCTAAATTAAACGGTGCTGTTGGTAATTTCAATGCCCATATTTTCGCATACCCTGAATTCGACTGGTCTAGTTTGAGTTAAGAATTTATTGAGGTAATAATAAATAAAAGCAAAAAATGAATGAATAATGAATGCATTTTAATTAAAAAAATAAAATTATTCTATTTTTAAATAGAAAATCGATATCAAAAATAAATTTTCATATTTATTTATTAATTTATTTCATAATAAATAATCAAATTCATAGATTAAATTAAATGATTAATTTATTAATTATTAATATTTAAATTAATTAGTCTTTAGGATTAGAATTCAACCCATACTCAACATAGATTGAGCCCCATGATTCTATTGCAGAATTTTACAATACTCTCTCTTTGCTCAACACCATTTACATTGGCTTTAGTCGTGATATGTGGAACTACATTTCAATTGGTTACTTCAAGTAGAGATCTAAAAAATCAGAAGTAGGTTCATCTACCATGCCTCACAAAGTATTTATTATTATTATTTATTAATTAATTACATATAATTTATTGAATTAATCAATTAAAAACTAAATAAATTCCTATCAAAATAATAAAAGGTTAACCCTATTGATTATGAAAATTGTGAAGGTAATTTGGGTATGGCTAACAGTGTTATGAAGCACTTTAGTGAAAAGCTACCTATTTCTCGTTTCCAAAGAGACTTGAGTGACTCAACTGTTATGCGTAATCATGGTATTGCTTTTGGTTATTCTGTTGTTGGTTATAAGAGTTTATTAAAGGGCCTTGATAAAGTCGAAGTTAATAACTAGAAATTGCAAGAAGATTTAAATCAAGTAAAAATATTTTTATTTATATATATTTATTCAATCAAATAATTTAATAATAAAAATAGCATTGGGAAGTTTTAGCTGAACCCATATAAACTGTAATGAGAAAATATAATATGGAAAATCCTTACGAATTGCTTAAGGATATGACTAGAGGCAAAAGCGTAGTCACCAAGGAAGACTTGCATTCCCTTATTCATAAATTAAAGGTTCCAGCTGATGTAAAGCAAAAAATGTTAGACTTAACACCTGGAACTTATATTGGTAATGCTGAATAAATGGCTCATGTCAAAAAATACATCAATTGAATTAATTTACTGAACTAACTAATTAATAAACAGTCATGAATGAATGGCTGACTGACTGACTGACTCTTTTTAAAATAAATTTGATTTTGTCTATTATCAATTAATAAGTTCTATTTTTTAAAATATTTTTTTATAGCTTCTAGTTAAGTTAGTTGTGTTTTTTTATTAAAGTAAATATTGTTGTTATTATTAATAAAAGCTTTATTTCTACTAAAAAATAGCTCTAGATTTTTTAATTAATAATTACTTTGTAAATATTTTTTTGATATATCAAAAGCATTCATTCATTTTAAATAATCAAAATTATTTATTATATTGAAAAATGAATGAATATTTTGTTTATTTAAATGAATCAGCTGTTAATATTAAACTACTTATATTTAAATAATTTATTTATTTAATGTTTTTAGTAATTAATAAATAAATAGCATTTAAATAAATAAATGAGTGAAATTTTTTAATTATTTTTTGACAATATCAATTGATATTATGGTTTTAAGTTTATTTATTTATTTTCACCTCATTAATACAATAAATTATGTATTCATCATATTAGATATAATTCCAACTTTTTAAAATAATGCTCAAAGCAATATGCTCTATAAATATAATTTATTTATTTATCATAATAATTTTGCTTATTTATCTTTGTAAATTTAATTAGAAAAGAATTATTAAACAAAAATATTTAATTTATTTTTTCAGATTTCTACTTGATTATTCTAATTAATAAGAATCAAGAATACAAATAACAATAAGTTAGTATTTTATTGATTGATATAGTCTAATATGATTTTAATAAAATTAAAATTTCTTTATTTAGTTATTTTAAAACACCTAGAATATAATAGATCGGCTAATTAACAAGATTATTTTAATAACAATATTATAATTCAAATTTACTAAAAATAGAGACCAAGAAGTAATATAAAATACAAACTACTTTTTAAAATTAAATAAAGTAGGAATAAAATTTTTAGTTTAACTTTTTAATTATATTAAAGATATGTTAACTTGTAAACTAAGACAATTAATTCATTTACGATGATTAAATTTAATATTTTTAATTTTATACATTTCAATTAATTAATTGTCCCAAAATAATTTAGTCATCAATTATTTGAGTGAAAAACTATTATTGTCTTTATTTGATAAAATGTCAGAAAAACGATCCTTTTGTAAGCAAGCAAGCACTTAGTTAGTTAGTTACTAAATTTAATTTTCCTTTCAGTAGAAACCCTAGAAATTTAGCTAAAATTGGCTTTGTTTTATAATTTCAATGAGGTATATTAAAATAGAAATGAAATTTTAGAAAATATTCTAATTAATTTCAGTTTAATTAATATTTTGGTTAATTTACAAAATTTGGTTTAAAACTTTCTTATATTTTAATATTTTATGTTGTAGACTAATAACGTTAATTTTGAAGAAGACGCTTTTTCCCTTTGTTTTTATTACAGTTTAGAGTTTAAATAAGAAAAAAAATAATACTTTAGTAAATAAACAAAATACATGATAATGTTTAAAATTCATAATTATTAATAAAAAAAATGGTAGAAATAAAAATAATAAGGATAATAACTAGATTAAATTTATTGCAAATAAAATAAATAATTAACAATAAAACATTAAATTTATATTTTTTTTTTAGAGGAGAATCAATAAATTCAAATTTTTTTACAAATATTATGATAGATAGATAGATATCTTTTAATTAAATTATTTGTCTGAAAATAAATGAATTTTTATTCAAATTTTATTTAATTAAAAACACCACTTTTTAAAAAAGCTAATATAATTTTTGTCTAATAATTTTCTAAGAATTTGTTTTCTAAATAAATGAGAGAGATAGATAATACTTAAAATATGTGATATTTTTTATATCAAATCTACATTTTGAGTTTATATTTAAAGATAAATAAATACCACCTATTAATCTTTAAAAAGAATTTTCTTTTTTTAGAAATTTTTAGGATTCGATTTTAGTTTGTAGTTGGGCAAACTAATTTATATAATTAGATAAATGAAAAGTAAATTAATTAGTTATGAAATGAAATAGATAGAATAAAAATATATACCACTTTATCATGCGTCAAGAAATAAATTAATTTTGTATTTGTAACCACCTAATAAATAAAGCATAGATATGTTAGAAGCTATTTTAAATTGACTTAATATTAATAATATGTAATATATATGATGACAGTACTTAATTAACACCAAAACAATTCTTTTACATATTAACTCCTTACTTTTAAATAGGAGTCAAAAAAGACTTTAAACTATTTATGGTCTTTTACTTTATTTTTATTAGCACCTAACATTTTTATGTCTTATAATTTAAATGAATAAAATCTATTATAGAGCATTTATGATATTTTTTATCTAGAATCAATTAATTTCCTATTTAAACTGTAGAAAATAAATCAAAATTATTTCATTTAAAAGCAAATTTTATTGTCCCAAAATAAAAGATTTTTAGTTTTAAATAATGTTTAATACATCATCTCATATATCTATTAATGATTTAGTTTGTTCAAAGATATTATATTTGCTAATGAATAAATTTGTTAAGCTTAACTGAAAACATATATATATTTTTTGGTATATTACTCAAATCCTAATATATAGCATGCATTATTTAATATACATATTATCACATATTTAAAATATAGAAATCTTGCTTAACTTAATGCTTTACTGCTAAAAAATGAAAGCCTACCAAACAAACAAATAAATTTCTTTTAAATTTAGATATTTATCTAAAAAAGAGTGTATATAAATGCATGTTTGTTTGTTTTTTTATGCTTAGAAATATGAAATATTTAGTGAAGTATTTTCTATTGAAGAAAACAACAAAGTAAATAAATGAATTCAATTACGTTTGAATGAATTAAAAATTTTAAACGTATTATTGATTGTTATGTCAAATTAAATATAGTGGCTAAGTTATATGACTAATTAAATACAACTTAACTCATTAATAGAGAGATTTTAATTGATTTACTTTTTTAGACAAAAGGTGTTAATTTAATCTAATTATTCGAGGGGAAAAAGTAAAATTTATGATGTATTTGCCCTTTATCAAAAGAAATTCAATCAAGGTTACTAATCATAAAGGAATTAAAAAAAACAATCTGATAAATTATAACTAAAGCATAAATTATTTTTGATTGTTAAAAGTCAAAAAACGTAAATCATTTAAAATTTTATTTTAAAATAAATTTAAATGTGTAAGTAAATATTTGCTTGAATAAAACCGTTTTCTTTTACAAAAGTAACATTTTTTGCATAAGAAAAATAACATAAATAAATTAATTACTGGTTTTTAATTAATTTCATGAGATTTTCTTTAGTTAGAAAATAACATTTCCTAATAGGAAATAACTCAAATAATGTAAAAATCTCTTGTTGGGTGGAAGGAATATATATATACTTTTATGTAAATAAATCGAAATCTAATTTTGAAAATTCCTAAAGAACTTTTCGTTCGTTTTGAGAAGAGATAAAATGCCTATTTAAATAATTTGATAATGAAAATATTAAGATATACTCAGTATAACTATATAAAAACTAGAAGATTACAGTTAATATTATTTAACAGAATCAATAAAAAATTTTATTTTATGATCTCCCCCAACTTTTAAGCATTTCAATAATTAGAAATGAACATTATACTTTTAAAAAATAGTTAGTTCATTTCTTAATTGTAAAGTACTTTTGCCATAGCAGTTAAAATAATATCTAATAATTTATCCCGTAATAGGAAGTATAATGCCAACATCTAACCCAAAGTGGTATTTTTTTAATACTGTTTTATCAAAAAAATAATAGAAAAAAGTTACTTAGTTTATAAAGTCTTTTTAGAAAATTTCAGGCTTAAACTTTAAAATAATATTATGTTAAGACTAACTAAGTTAAGTTTATGATCAAATATTATTTTTCAAAAAATAAACATTTAAGTACTAACTTATAAATAAATAAAATTATGTAAGAATAAAAATGATAGGTATGCAATCGTATTTTTTAATTCTATTCATATTGAAGAATACTTGAATTAAGGATGATTTATTATTTTTTAAATGCGTATGTTTGAGAAATGAAAAAATCAAATTATTTACATTCTACAATTAGATTATTTTTGCGTGAAATTTAATTACAATCAAATCAATTAATCTATAAATAAATAAATCATGTTTTGTTTTCTAACAGAAGTATAATTTCCCACTTAGATTGTTTTATGATAATTTAATTAAAAAAATTAAGCAAAAACAATCAATGTACAATTAATTAGTTAATTTTCTATCTTATTGAATTCAATTCATTCCAGAAACTTTCTAATTTTTTTTGACAAATTTACTCATTCTTAACATTATTTTGAGTAATTTATTTTGGATTGATTTTTACATTTATTTCTTTAACACCAACTTTAACTAAAATTGTTTGCTCAAAAACAACTTGGCAAATAAATTCATTTATAATTAATTTTTAAAATAAAAAAAATATCAAATAAATAAATCAATCGATCGATCTTAATTAATAAAAAATATTTTATCATAATCCTATCTTTGATTGAAATTCTTATAAATAAATCAAATGACAGACGTCTACAAAAATAATTTATCAGAACCCTTCATAATTGAGATGAAAGAAATGACTAACTTCAAAAAACTCCAAGACCAAAAGAGACCTTTTAGCTCCGAGTATGTGAAACCCTGTCACTCTTCAAATAACTCTACTATTGAAGAAGAAAATCATTACTCAAGTGAAAATAGCAGCCCATAAAACTAAGTTTTTAATAAATTTGATGTTAAGCGCTTTACCGATGGCTTCTTCTTAAATGAGGAGTTAATTCAATCAGATAAAGTTTTAACAAAAGCAGATCTGATGAGATTTTCTATGAATTGCTTGTCTGGAGGTGGCATTCCTGAACCAAACTAATCTATTTCTTAAACTAATCAAAATTAAGAAGAATATGTTGCTTTTAACACAACACTTACTCCTACAGGATACGGATTTGCTATAGATTACATATATTTGCTTTGGAATCTTTACATGAACTAATTCTGCAAGTTACTTAAATTTCTAGGATCTATTGTTGGAAAACTAGAAAAAAAATACACTTCTCACAATGTTGGTTATGCTTTCATGGCTCTCTCAACTATTCTTCACGTTATTCCTTCCTTGTATGTAAAAATGAATCCATAAATTGACTTCAGCGTGTCACTCATGGCAAGAGGATCAGTTACGATGTTCCTACTTGTCTGCATGGCTAAATGCAAAAATTAAAAGTTGATTGCCTTTTGTAAAAATGACATGAAAATTTTAATCACCAGAGGTATTCTCAATGGTATTTCTTAGCTCTATTTCTTCTTTTCTGTCAAGAAACTACCCTTGAGCATCGATTATGTTATTTTTAACACAGGTCCCATTTTCGTATTTATTCTCAGTGCTATTCTCTTCGGAATCGCTATTAAGAAAAAAGAAATGATAGGAATATTAGTTGCTTTTTCAGGTATTATATGTATAACCAACCCTGGTCTGATTTAAAGTATCATTTCTTTCGGTGGAGAAGAATAAATTACCTCACAACAAACATAGTAAAGCTAGTTTTAATACGCCCAAGGAGTTGAAAAAATTATCTTAATAGTTATTTTTATTTTTGTTTATGTCGGATGGGCTTATGCAATTCTCTTAGTCAAAAAAGTTAAAGAAGCCAACAATCTAGCTATGAATTTCTATGTTGGAATGTCATGTTTCCTTGCTGGTGCTATTGCCTTTTATGTAAGAGACTAGAGCATTAGTCATTTGAATATTTTTGACTTCATGGCTATCATTTTCATCGTTGGCTTATTTTCTTTTGGATCATAATACACTTTCATTACCTCAACAATGCTCAATTCCAATCACGGTCCTCTAAGCATGCTAAACTATCTCTGCGTTGTTGAATCCTATGTAGTATAAATTCTCTTCTTTAATGAAGTTCCCTCTCTAATTGAAATATCAGGAGCAATCTTAGTTCTTGGTGGATTGAGTACTATTCTTATTAAGGGTTGAGCAAACAAAAAAAAGCAAAAATTATTTATTTTTTTACTTGCCTGTTTAAAACAAAAAACGATAAAAAAATAAACTTTCTTTCTAATAATTCTTACACTAAAACCATGATAGATTAATTTAATTATTTATAATAAATACTAATCAATAAACTAATTCTATTTGTAAAATTATATTTAAATTTTATAACAAAAATATGAATTTAAGTAATTTATTTCACAAAATGTCTCAAATTTTAAATATGGAAACCAGAATTATTTTAATACAAAATAACTCGCACTGACTTTAAAAAAAAAGCTTATCAATCAAAAAATGCAAAAATAAATTAACAATTTTCTTTACTAATAAGTGTTATTTTTTCAATTTTAATATTACCTTTAATCAAAAGTAAAAGAGTCTGTCTGCTTTTTAGCTTTTTTCCTTCAATTTATAGAAATTTGTTCAAGTGCTTTAGTTAAAAAATAAACATTTCAAATTTTATTTTTAAGATAAAATTATAAAAATATTCTAATATTTTATAGCGCTCTTTGATTGAGTACGTTAGTAGCTATTTTTTAACCTTTAAAAAAATGTATATCCATGATGTATTTTAAAGATTCGAAATTATTCATAGATTCAGTATATAATATAGATTATACATTTAGCTTCTTGAATTTGAAAGAAATTAAAAGCAGTTATTTAATTAATTATTCATAAACAGAATCCTGATTAAAAATTTCTTCTAATTTTCTTTTGAGCAAAATTATTTGATAAATCCTTTTTTTAATTTTCTACTACTTTTAATTCCATAAATTCAAAAATGTAATTTTTTGTCAAGTAAAGACCCCAGAAATCAAAATTTGTTAGTTTGTTTTGATTACTAAAAATTTGCAAAAAAATCAGTAAGCAAGCTTTTATCTAATAGATAAATTTTGTTATTTTCTATTGAACAAAAAAAAAGGAATTCTCCATACAATAATTATGAAAATCTGGGTCTACTAATTCAGTATTTTTAAAATATTTATTTTAAGTCATATTATATTTTTAAGTGAAATAAAATAAATTTAATTTTATTTATATAAAAACTAAATACTAACAATTTAATCTAAAAATATAAATACAAATTTAATAATTTATTTATTTATTTATTTATTTTTTATTATAATAAGACACAAAATAAACTTCTTAATAATAAGACTAAAGTTATGTTGATTTTTTAAAAAAGATGAGAAAGTATTTCATACCAATTTAAAAATGTAGTTTATTTAGATGATTAATATTTAATAGATTTTAACAGTTAAAAAATAAATTTCATTAAAATAACAAATATAAGTAAGTCATTAATAAAACATAAAAATAATTGATTGAATATATAGATTTAAATTTTAATGAATATAACTTAGTATGATCAATATATAAAAAAAATTCTTTTATTGTTTTAAGACTTTAAAAGAGAAATTTTAAGTTGAATTTATTAAGTCATGAACCTAATTCTCATCATCTATCATAAAATCTAACTAAATCACAGAATATTAAATCCTTAAAATTAATTAAATGCCAACAATATTCTATTTCAAGAATAAATTTTCTTTTAAAATATATTGCATATTATCAATCTTTTTTAGATAAATTATTTGGTATTCTGTATTTTAACATTCAATAGTTTTAAGCGTTAGTTATTTAGAAAAATATAAATTTTAATTTAATAAAAAAATATATATTTCTTATTAGGCTTACCTCTTATCGATTATAATTTAATTTAAATTAGTTATTTTTTACCATATAATTTATTATTTATGAATTTATATCAAGTTAATAAAAAAATCAAAATCATAAAAATGTAAGAAACAATCTTTTTTAAAATCCTGAAATAGAATAACCTCAAAAAAAAAGGTATTATTATTGCTAATTTTTAAATTAAAAAATTGCTTTAAAAAATATAATTTGTGATAAAATATCAAATTAAAATTATAGCACAAAATAAATAGCAAAATAGAAGCATTCTATATTTAATTTTCAATAATAATTAATAATACTGATTTCTAATTTCTTTGAATTTTCTTAATTTAATAGTATTGAAAAAATAGAATCTTAATTAAATTTTATATTTTTTGGCAATTTTTAATTTTTTAAACTATAATTAACAATACTTTTTGGGCAAATGCTATAGTAAAAAATTTTTTATGGTTAAGTATCAGAAGTAAAATAATTTAAGTTCTCATTCCTTTGCCAGAAAATTTAAAAAATAAATTAATATGAAATAACAAAAAAAAACAATGCTAAAGATGATTTGAAATTTTTAAATTCAACTAAACAAAAATATTTTAAATACTATTTAATCAAATTAGAATAAAAACTGTAAACTTATTATAACTAAATTTAAATAAATAAATATTAATGTTAGAATAATCACTGTCACATAAAAGAAGTTTTGTGACTCTATATCATAAAATAAAATAAGATTTAAAGGGTAACACATTTTAAAGTAATTATATAAATGGCTTATTAGAATAGATTTACATTTTAATAATTAATTATTGATAAATTAATTTTTTAAATAAATAAATAAATTATTTTAATTAAAACTTTATTTAAAAGTTAATTAAAATGCTGATTAAAAATGTTAATAAAAGATTCCAATTTCTTATTGAAACTATATTGATATAAAATGATATTGAATAAGAGGCTCTTTGTTTGACTTTGGGAAATTAAAAATATCTAACAACAATCAATCAAACAAACAAACAATTAATATAATTATAATAAGCAAACAAACTATTATTTTATTAGTTAATTAATTAATTAATTAATCTTTTTGAAAAAGTCGATAAAATTCAATAAAAAGCAAATAAATTAGTTGTTAAATTGATATTTAAGTATTTCTTTGCCAAAAGAATTTAGATTTAGTACTGAACCAAATAATATAAAACGAAAGAAAATACTTACGCCAGTATAATATTCTAAAAAAAGATAATCAAAACGCTTAACAATAGGGAGAAGGCCTATCTGTCATTAAGAAATTAAATTAAAGTATATTATTTATTTTCAAGTGCTGTCATTTTTGTGCCAAACTTTCTTTTACATGCCAAGCAATTTCTATTTTAAATAACTTAATATGAAAAACTAGGACTAACAATTTTTATTAAAAAAAAACAAACAGCAGTTAATAAAAAGGAAGCAACAGTACAAAAAAATTTAGTTTGAGTAAAATGTCATCTACAAAAGTTGCTGCTATGAATGATATAGTGAATGTCAATAATATTAAGTCTTCAAAGTTGTTTAAAAAATTTTTAGAAACAGAATAAAGCGAAGATAACACTTATTTACGCTCAGGAGAAAATACAAATAGAGGATTTTAAGAGAGTCCTTTTAAAAAGTAGCCAGAGTTCCCTGAAAAAGACTTAGAAAATATTTTAAGAACTAGTCAGATTCGAAACGGATAGTCTAGGAATTCTTTCAACCCTTACTATGATAATAATTTGAATATTAGTTAGACTTCAGAGTAGTCTAACATCAACACTTAGAGTGCTTTCTTATAGTTACAGCACTCTTATTTTCAGCCTCCTACACCATAGTATTTAGCATCTAATGATTTAACTTAGTCTCCAAATTTATCTCAGCAGCTTCTTGATAACCATAAAAAGCAAAGTATGTCACCTGAAAGATTTTATTTTAACCCACCAGCTGTGCCTTTGAATAATAATTAAACTATTATTGAAGATGATTAAGAAATGCAATAACACAGCGAAACTTCCTAAAATTAGTTATAGTCAAATAACAATATATCAAGATAGCCATCATATGCAAAGCATCCATTTAATAAGATAAATAGTTCTTTAAAACAAACTCCCTAACAATAAAACTACTATGATTAAAGTCCTCCCGTATAATTTGTATAATCTTGTGAGTATATTCCTCCAATGGCATAAAACTAAAACTACAACGATTAAGTTGATAATCAAAGGTATTTGTAATACTCTAACTAGAGAGGATTTCAGCCTAATTAAAGTAGTCAAAAGAAATCTCTGAGTTAAAGCAAGAATCAGGGAAATCAACACAATAACTAATATGCTTAAGTCTAATATCCAAACGATGAAATTCAATATCCTATGCGCAGAGAAGACTTAAATGATAACAGTCGCTAAGCTGCTGAATAATAATAGATGGATTATGATCCTGACTAAGAGGGAGTTTCAAGGAAAAGAATTGAAAACGTTAAAAACACTTCACACAATTACTAAAATGTAGATTATTTTGATGATACCTCCTCGAATCACAACCGCAATACAGAAAAAAAGAATTTAAACAATAACAATAATAATCTATTTAAAAATAGTAAGACTAATTTAATGAATATGAGTCATGAAACTAAAAACTTTGAGAAAGACTTAAAGCAATTCCAGCACCAAATATAACTTCAAGAAGAGCAAATTTTCCAAATTCAAATTAATCTAGAAAAAGAGTAACTCAAAAATCGTACACTCGAAGAAACTATCGCAGAACTCAGACGCAAAATTGATTCATTAGAGATAGAGAAGACTGGTAAATAATTAATTAAATAAACACTTTATTTTGTATCTAAATTAAATAATTCAGTAAAAAATAGTTAGCGAATATTTTTTATCTAAAATTTAATCAACTGCCTAAATAAAATTTATTATTATTAAGCTGATAAATCTAATTAATTAAATTGCAAATATATTTTGATTGATATTCAAGGTTTAATAAATTATAAATAGAAATTAGGTCTAAATTGCTTTTAGAAACTGAAAAAAATGTAAGAGAGTTGCAACAATAAACTTCTTAATCAAATAATTTAAAATCTAAAGTAAAAAAAAAATATTTTCTTTAATTATTATTTTTTCAATTGTTTTTATTATTTTCTTCTAGGTCACAGAACTAGAAAAAAGGGAAGAATAGTTAAGAGCAGATATTGATAAAGCAAAGCAAGCATTGTACAAAGAAGAATCTAACAAACACAAACTAGAAGATGAAATTAGAGATTACAAAAACAAAATAAGTGAGTTGACAGAAACTTCACAGTAATAAAATTATTATTTTATTGTTTAAATTAAAGGTTTTAATTTAAAAAAGAGAGTATTAAAGAAGACAAGAAAGAAGAGATGATGAAATCATTCAATTGAAGCTTTAAAACGAGTAGTTAAAAGCTAAAATGGCCTCTATTCAGTATTAAATAATTTCTAAAAAGTTATGAGTTAAATTTAAATAATTTTTATTTTAATAGCTTAAATAATGAAAGAAATACTGAAAGACTTACTGAAACACAAAGGTAACAATTTAGAGATGTTGAAGAAAGGGAAGAAAATCTAAGAAAAATTTCAGAAATGCAATAAAAGATTTAAAATTACTTAATAGAAAGTGAAAGACTTAAAAATGAAAATTATAACCTGAACAGATAGCTGCATGATAGCAATTTTAGAAATGAAATCCTGCAAAATGATCTCTTTAATTAGAAATAAATGCTTTTAGAGAAAAACCAAAAAGAAAATATCTTATAAGTCAATATTGATAAAGCTAACCTTGAAATTCACTAGCTCCGAAACCTACTTTCCAGAACAGAGCTTGAGCTTAGAGTAATTAAATAGTCATTTTATTTTTGCTTTTAAATAATTAAATCATTTTTAAATTAAGAAAAATGTTTGTTTTTTTAAAGTAAAATTTTATTTTATAATTTTTCAAATAAAAAAGGATGTTAAAGAACATAACAATCACTTGATCAGAAATTTAACAGATATTGCTAGCTAAAAGGCCTTATCTGATGCTAATACAGAATAAGGGTAATACTCTAAAGCTTATTTCGTTCCCAGTGCGTCCTTTGTTCCAAACCCTTCTAGTGAATAACCAAATTTAACTAGCAATACAATACCATCTTATAAAATGAGAGGTGGTCTAGACCCATAAACTCCTCCTAAAAGTAGATCACTAGTAAACCTACAAAAAGCAGAAGATACAACTTAAAAGCTACAAGTACAAACATACAAAAGAGGGAGAATGGCTAATGAATTAGAGCAGTTTGAAGAAGAAAAAACTACATCACCAGGACGTTTAAGATTCAAACCTAAAGATCATAATATATTTGGTACAGATGATAATAGTAGGTTCCAAACTCGTCATAATTAAGACTATTCATGGAGTCCAGCTAAGAAAGTAGAAATGTAAAAACCTAGAGACCACAATATATTTGGCTAACCAGCTGATGATACTTATTAAAGAAACCCAACAAAAATAGGCCATTCTAGCTTGTCTCCTCAAAGAACAAACAGAAATCCTTGGGATGACATGCCACCTGCTGGAATGCGCAAGAGATCACCAAGAAATAATCCTATATTGGGTAATACAAATGGCTTTGATAATATTGTTGAATCAGGTGTCAAATACTAAGCAGAAAAATCAGATGTTGCAACCATAGAAGAAAATCTTATGCTTATGAATTAAGATAGAGGATTAGTAATTTTTTTAAAATTATTTATTAAAAAATATTTTGTTTATTTTTAAACACCTTTTGCGTACACTTAATAATATTTATTAATATAATATTTAGCTTGAAGCTGAATTAAGAAAAGTCGAGGATCTAAAGAGAAAATCAGGAGCTGATTTAAGAAGAAAAGCTGAAATAAATAAAGAACTTTAATAATTAGAATAGGCAATACAATAGCATAAACTGTAATTAAGATAGTTGGGAGTTATTTGATTGTCTGAATAAAAATATAGTATTAAATTCATCTTGAAATTTGTTGAATCTTAGCTCAATTATAAAATTTGTATATAAATCTTAGAGTATAAATTAGAAAAATTAACTAAATAAATTAAATAATCTTAATAACTTGTTAGAATTTTATATTATATAATTGTATAAATTAATTCTTGTATCTTAACTAATTCTCTAATTTATTTTAAAGCCAATATATAAAATCATACATTTTTTTCAACCAAAATCAAAGTTTTTTTATAAATAAATATTCATTTTTCAAGTTAAAAATAATTAATTAATTAACTTAAAATATTTATTATTAATTAATTAATTAAAAAATAAATATTTTATTTAAGAAAAATAAATTAAAACAGACAATGTCTTTTTCATTATTTACTGTATAAACCAACCTTCAATCATTCTTTGTATAAAACCTTTTAGAAAATTTCTAAAAAATTTACTTATTTTTCAACATTTTATTCTAAATTAGTCATAATTTAATTAATTAATGGCGATTTAGGGTATTTATTTATTTTTTCAATACTTAAATTTTATGGGATTTCTGTTGAATATCTTTGTAAGAAATCCTCAATTTTTTATTGAACAAAAGTAAATCACAATTTTTTTATTTAATCTATTTTATATTATAACTTAATTAATAATTATCTGCATCAAAATAAGGATTTGGATTTTAAAAATTAGAAAAATTTCATTTATTTTTTCTTCTGAAAAAAAATTAGAAGTATTATAAAAGAAAAATTTTGTTTCAGGATTTATAAGCCAACATACCAATCAATTAAATAAATAAATAAATAATTAATGATTGATTTAAGATAATCTTTAGGCTAAACAAATATTTCTAATTTTAAAAATCACTCACAAATAAATTCATTCTTTTAATGTTTTTTTAAGTGGTATCAAAATAAAAATTACATTTAGAAAATTTTAAATATTGATTGACGCTTTAAATTTAAGTTGATAATAAAATTTCATTTTTCTATTCTAGCTTAACAAATAGACTCAATAGAAATATTAAATGAATTTTCATCTATAGTAATCTCTCTTCATATAGTGTCTACCTAATTCATTGTTAAAAATCTTCGCATTTTTTAAATAATTTGAAGATTTTTTATCATTAAATGATATAAAACAAAATATATTTTTAAATAAACGTAAACAAATAAATCCAATAAGGCTTTAATTAAGTTTAAGATGATTTTGTATTTCAAAACTAATTTTCTTGTAAAATTTGATTTTTTTTACATATAAAAGCTGATTAGAAAAAGCAACTGCTCTGTTTAATCAAAAGAATTATTATAAAAGTTGCTATTATTTAGTAAAGATTTATTTAGAAAGTTAGAAAACAAACTTGAAATATTTGATATAATAAATAATTTCAAAAAAATTGATTCAGATTTAAATGTAAAATAAATCTTTGATTATAAAAAAATATTAAAAATCACTATTATCAAACAAATTAGATATTTCATCTTTGTTTCAAGATTTAAATGACAAAGATAAATAAAACTAATATGATAAAATAAACATATGTTTAAGTAATGTTATCTTTAAAGATTCAGAAGTATTTAAGATATTTGCTTCCTACATCAGCTAGTATAAAAATATTAAAAATATGAATATCACTTTTTAATCAATGGTGATTGATGATTATTTTCTTTATCTATTAGGTTAGTAGATTTCAAATTTTTAAATGCTGGAAAATTTGACTTTTTCATTCACCTCTTTTAAAGTGTCTTCTATAGGCTATGATGATATATTTTATTTTATTGCAAGCAGTTCCTCAATTAAATAATTATATATTTACCTCTCAGGAGAAAATTTATAAGAAGGAGATTTTGAAGTAATTTTCAAACACTTATCATCTTCTAAATCACTAAAATTGCTCAAAATTTATTTTTACTCTCTAAGTAACAAAATCGCTAAGAGCTTTTCTTAATAGATTAAAAGATTAAGCAATATTAACCAATTTGATTTAGAAATTTATAGCACATTAGACTATTCTCAAATATTAATAAATGGAATAGCTTAAAATAATTCTATAGAAAAGCTGTCTTTCTAAAATTTCGACTTTATTGAAAATGAAAATGAAAAAGAAAAACCTATTGCTTTTAATAATAAAAAAAATAATTTTTATAAATCTGCCTAAAAGCTTTTCGAGATGAGTAATTTAAAAAATTTATTTCTAAATTTCGATAAATCAAAAACAAGTGGAAGTGAAATTGATGTAATAAAAATGATAAATAGTCTTAAAAAAACAAATGTTTAAATATTGAATATGATTTTAACTGAAAAAATGGAACCTAAAAAACTCTTCGATTTTGGCTAATATTTATCAACCCAAAAGCATATTCATAGCTTATATATAAAAGTATCTAACTAAAATTTTGACTCTTGTATATAATTCATTGATGAATTAAAAGACTCTAATATTTATTTTTTCTTTTTTAACTATTTTTACTTTGTTAACTTTCATTACTTTATTTAGTAAAAATAAATTAAATAAAGAATGATTAAAAAAATGAAAAGATTAATCTCTTTTGGTGATTCATCTTTATACTGAAAAAATTGCAGTAGTTTGTTTTTAAAATAATTATTAAATTAAATTATTAATCTCTTTATATTTTGTTTATTAGATTAGCCTATAATATTTGTATTTTATTCATTCATTCATTCATTTAAAAATTTTTACTTTTTATATTTTTAATTGCTCATAATAATACTTTTGATGCACATAGCACACACAGTAAATTAATTTTTATCAAAATTTTAAAAATCAATACTTACAATTTAAATCATGAAAAATTAAAATTTAACTTAAATAGTCTTGAGAGTATTTTATTTGTTTCAATAAAAATTTTTGTATTTAAAAAAAAACTAAATAAAAAACTTTTAAAGTAAATTTTGATTATTTTTTATACGAAATAAATTAATTTAAATGATTTAAATTAAATTTTATAGAATCAACTATTCTAAATATCTATTAATTTTTTTAATTATTTTTGTAATATTAGAAGCTTTATAAAAAGTAAAATATAAAATAAATTTTCATTGTTTATAAAAAAATATATTCAATTTTTTATTTATTTATGTATTTATTTATTTATTCATTTATTTATTTATTTGTAAAGTATTATTTTTTTTTTTTTGCAATAGGTATTTAGGGTGTTTGTTTTTACAAAAAATACATAGAAATAAAGTATGAATCAATAAATAGAATATTTATTTTAAGTTTAATGCATATTAATTTATTAAAAATGCTCATTTTTCAATTTTGAAATAAGTTAGATCGATACAAGTAGTATACTATGATGCAGTTGAAAAATGTATTGCCAAATAATATTTACCATTTTTTTCCAACTGATAACCTCTATTTAACTAATTTTAATTCAAGTAATTAGGATAGTCTAAAAAATCAACCTGTCTATTCTCTATATCTACTCTCATTTCTATTTCTAAATCTTTTTAAATTTTGTAAAACAAATTACCTTTCACAATTTAAGATGCATAACATTTATAATTTGTAATATTGTTGCAAAAAATTTTTCCTTGGTTGGTATCATTAAGTTAAAAGTTGATTTCTTTCGAATCTATTAAGCCAATTATAAAATAATCTCCTGCCGTATCATTAAATTTAAACCTGAAAGTATATTTACTTTCTTTTGTTAAGTCATATTTAAAGTAGACTCCGCCATACGATTTAGGATCATTTTTAATTATTTATATCGTATTTTGGTCTTACAATTCTTAAATTTGAATAGGTATTGAGTTATTATAATCACAATAAGAGCTTTTTCCATATAGCTCATTTATTTATGAATTTTGTTGATGCTATTGAAGTTATTTAGAAAGATCTTTAATTAAATTAAAATTTTCAGGATCAAAAAATGAGTCCATTTTCTTTTAAATTATTGATTTTAATTAAGAAAAGTCATTCGTTATGTTAGTCTAAATGTTATCCAACTTTATCAATTATTCCTTTAAGATGTTAGTTATTGATTCTTTTTATTATTAATTTTCTTGAATAAACTTTTTTAAGCCTTCATAATCATTCTAATCAGTTTACTTCCTGATATTAATTAGCTCCTTTAGTTTTTATTTTCCTGAAACTTCATTGTAAATTTTAAGGAGATCCTCTTGTACTTAATTTTGAGTTTGTACTTATAGAATAAAAGCCTTCTTTTTTTTAAATATCTCTTCTAAAATTTCTTTCGTAAATTAAGAAAAAGCCAATTCTATTTCTTCAATTTTAGAATATTTATTATTCTTAATGGTATGTTGAATATTTTTCAATATCCTATTGTCATCTAGAGATGGCCAATTTAAAAATATGTGGTCATCATTACAAACTTTGATGGTTTCTAGTGCTAGATAATCTTGAATCTTGCCATCTTCTTCTAACAAGCACTAAAGGCATTTTAAAATTTATTCATTTTAAAATGAAACCTTAATAAAGCTAATCTAATGACCTGGGTGGTTTTTACAATAAACAGTGTCTGATGAGTTCAAATGATCCATTTAGTGATTGATTTAATTTATTAAATTGATTTATTATTTGATTTAATAATCTTTAATGAAATTCCTAATTTAATAAGTGCAAGATCAAATAATTAAGATTGTATTCATGATTAAATTTAGCTGATTTTTATCTATCAAAAATAAAATAGTTGTTTTTCTCAATTAATTTTCTAATCAAAATTAACCTATCCCTACCAATACCATTAGAAATTTTAATTTTTTATAAAATTTATTTTATCTTTTTTATTAAAATTGTATGATGAATTATTTGACAAAGTAATTTTACACTTAATATATTTTAAAAGAAGATAAACATGAATGTCTTTCTCTATTTTATATTTTTGTAACATTTATAGAACAAATAAATATTTATATTTAAAACAAGATTAAAATTAAAAAAATTAGAAATTTCTAATTTGTTTTTTCTATATTTATATCAGAAAAATCTTAGCAGCGTCATATAGAAATATCTTGTCTCAGAATCTATAAGCTATCAAAAATTTAAATTAAATTAATTTAATGAGTAATTTTCGAGATTATTAAAAAAGATTTCTTTATTTAAAATAAATTTTTCTCATTTTAAAAAACATTTGATTATTTTTTTAAATAAGCAAATAAGACAAATTATTAATTTTACTGTATAAATTTTTTCATTAAATCTATTGTAAAAGGAAAAATAAATTGATAAATGTATCTATCTCTATTAAAATTACCGCTTCAATTAAATTTTATCTTAATGATGATTTATTTGCATTTCATAAAATTAGAAATTTCTAATTTGTTTTTTATATATTTTCATCAAAAAAAATCTTATAAGCAACTATATAGAAATGTTTTGTTTCAGAATTTATAAGCCATTTAATATGTTCATTAAATAAAAACATTTAATGAGTAATTTTCAGATTATTATATAAATATATTTCTTCATTAGATTGAAAAAACGATTCTAATTTAAAAAAAAAATCCTTTGTTCATTTTTTAAATAAGTAAATAAGACTAATTATTTATTTTTTAGACATATATTTTTTCATTAAATCAATAAAAAAAGAAAAATAAATATATAAATTTGTTTCTATTTATATTATACTTCAATTGAATTCTATCTAACTAAACATGATTTGCATTACAAAAATTAGAAATTTCTAATTTGTTTTTTCTATGTTTTTATCAAAAAAAATCTTAGCAGCATCTAAAAAGAAATATTTTTTTTCAGAATCTAATAACCAATTAATATGTTAATTAAATAAAAAAAATTAATAAGTAATTTTCAGATTATAATTATTATATATATAACTATGATGTTTTATAAGATTTAGACCCCTATCTTAAATTTAAAACTAGTATCCTTAAATGAATGATTTACATCTCTGGTGATATTTAAAATGTTAATTAATCATAGCTTTAACTAACTAATTAGGATTTACGGTATTTATTTTTTCAATATTTACATTTGAAGGGATTCTTCAGCTAAATACCTTAAAATGAAATCGTAGATTTTTTATTCAATAGAAAAATAAATAAATAAATAAATAATTCCTAATTAGTAAATCACAATTTTTTTATTTTGTCTATTTTAAAATAAAAAAAAATAAATGTATCTCTATTTTATATTATATCATTTAATTGGATTAAAATAATCTTTTAATTTGTTTTTTCTATTTTTTCATCAGAAAAAAAATGAATTAATACTATCTATCTTAGAAGAAAAAAATATTGTTCAGGATTTATAAGCCAACATACCAATTAATTAATTAATTCAATAAAAACATTTAATGAGTAATTTTAAGATAATTAATTAATTCATTCTTTTAATATTTTTAAAAAATGATGTCAAAATATTTTTCTTGAAATTCCAATTTAATTTAACTCATTCCAAAATATAGAGATTTACTGAAGCTTATAATTTAAAGTTTATTGTAAAATTTTATTTTTATATTATAACTTAATATCAAACAAATATACTTAATAAAAAATATTAATGGATCAGAAAATAATATTTCTTCTCTTAAAAAAAAGTATCTACATAAATCTTCACATTTTTTAAATTATTCGAAAATCTTTTATCATTAAAACTATTTAAAACAAAAAATATTCGAATTTAATTTAATGTATTCCAAAATATATATACAAATTTATTCAAGCTTATAATTTAAGTTTATTGCAAAATTATATATTTCTATTATAGATTAATATCAAACAAATATATTAAATAAAAATATTAAATGAATAATCATCAGATAATATTTTTTCTTCTTTAGATAAACAAAAAAGTATCTACTTAATTTATTTTATAAAATCTGAATAGAAAAAAAGCAATAGTTGCTCTATTTAATCAAAAGAATTATTTATAAATTAAAAGATTAGTTGCTTTAATTAATAGAAATTTATTTAAAAATTAAGAAAGCAAACTGCTGGAAATAAATATTTGATAACAAATAAATAAATAATTTCAAAAAATTGATTAATATTAAAAAAAAATGTAAAATAAAAATTTGAGCATAAGAAAGTATTAATAATAATTATTATCAAACAAAGAAGATATTTCATCTTTGTTTCAAGATTTAAATGACAAGGATAAATAAAGCTAATATGATGAAATAAACATATATTTATATACTGTTATCTTTAAAGATTCAGAAGTATTTAAGCTATTTACTAGTTACATCAGCTAGTACAAAAATGTTAAAAATATGAAAATCACTTTTAGTTCAATGGTGATTGATGATTATTTTCTTTATTTGTTAGGTGAGTAGATTTAAAATTTTTAAATGCTAGAAAATTTGACTTTTTCATTCACCTCTTTTAAAGTGTCTTCTATAGGCTATGATGACATATTTTATTTTATATCGAACAGTTCCTCGATAAAATAATTAAAAATTAACCTCTCAGAAGAGAATTTACAAGAAGAGGATTGTGAAGTAATTATCAAACACTTATCATCTTCTAAATCTCTAAAGAAATTTAAAATATCTTTTTAATCTTTAAATAACAAAATCGCAAAGAGCTTTTCTTAACAAATTAAAAGATTAAGTAATATTAAACAACTTGATTTAGAGATTTATAGCACATTTGATTATTCTAAAATTTTAATAAATGGATTAGTGTAAAATAAATCAATAGAAAAGCTGTCTCTCTTATATTTTGATTTTCCTGAAGAAGAAAATCAAAAGCCTATTGTTTTTAATAATAAAAAAAATAATTTTTATAAATCTGCCTAAAAGCTTTTCGAGATGAGCAATTTAAAAAATCTATTTCTAAATTTCGATAATAAAATAACAAGTGGAAGTGAAACTGATGTAACGAAAATGATAAATAGTCTTAAAAAAACAAATGTTTAAATATTAAATATGATCTTAACTGAAGAAATGGAACCTAAAAAATTCATCGAATTTGGCTAACATTTATCAACCCAAAAGCATATTCATAGCTTATATATAAAAGTATTTAACTAAAATTTTGACTCCATTATTAAATTCGTTGATGAATTAAAAGACTCTCATATCTATTTTTTCTTTTTTAACTATTTTTAGTATAATAGCCTTCCTTATTTTATTAAGAAAGCATAGCTTAAAATAAGAATGATTAAAAAAATGAAAAGACTAGTATCTTTTGATAATTTGCCTTTATACTGAAAAAAAATGAGTGAGTGGTTAGTTAGTTAGTTTTTATAATAATTGAAAAAATTATTTCATTAAATTAAATTAAATTATTAGTCTATTAATATTTTATTAATTAGATTAGTTTATAATATATATTTGTATTTTATTCAACAATTCATTTAATGAGTTTTACTTTTTACAATTTTATATTGTTAATGAACAATAGATTAATTTTTATCAAGTTTTTATTCATTCAATTAGTGACAAAATTTTTACAATTCATTTAATGAGTTTTACTTTTTACAATTTTATATTGTTAATGAATAATAAATTAATTTTTATCAAGTTTTTATTCATTCAATTAGTGATAAAGTTTTTAATATTGATTTTTTCCTCTCTAATTTCTAATAAGGAATTAATCAGAAATAAAAATTTTCTGATAATCTGAGAAATAAAATATATCAAACAAAACCAATACTTAGAATTTAAAGCATGGAAAATTAAAACTTAATTGAAATATTCCAACAATTTATGTTGAGAATATTTAATTTGCTCCAATAACATTCATCTAAAAAAAAATATAAACTTAATAAAAAAACAATTAAAATTTTAATTATTTAATAAATAAATTAAATTAATTTAAATAATTTACATTAAATTTATATAATATAATCAACTATTTTAAATATCAAAAATAAGTTTCTCTAAATAATTTTTTGCAATAACTTAAAGCTAAAAATATTATAAGTAGTAAAATAAAAATAAATTTTTTGATGCTTAAAAAAACATATTCAATTATTTATTGAAATAATTATATTTATTGTCTTTGTAAAAATGTGGTAATTTATTTTAATTAATTGAGTTTCTTTTACTTAAAAATGAAGTTTTGAAAAATTAAAAATTAGAGCTTTTCTTAATCAGTTCAATCGTGAGATATTTTCATATTAACTTGTTTCAAGTATTTATCTGAATTTTAATAATAATAATTAATTTATTTGTCATAAAAAATATCAATTAAATAAAAATATGTGTTAAAATATTGATTATTTTATAAGTGAAATAAAATAATTTAATTGAATAATAGATAAAACATTAATTCAATTTAATAGAGCTAACTATTTTAAATGATCAAAAAATTCCTTAGATTATTTTTTACAATAAATAAATAAATGTTTTTATCCTAATAAGAAGTAAATTTAATATTTAACTAATAAATTTTTATATGCTTAAATATTTATTTTTAATTTTGTATTTTAGAAGTGAAATAATTTAATTTTATTGAATAATAAATCATTAACATTAATAAAGTTAACTATTATAATTGTCAAACAAATAATTTTCTTAGATTATTTTTTACAATATCTAAATAAATGTTTTTACTCTATGAAGAAGTAAATTTAATATTTAACTAATAAAATTTTATATATTTAAAAATATATAGTTAAATGTTGATTGAAATAATGATACTAATATTTATTAAATGCCTTTAATATAGTATTATATTTTATTTGAATTAATTGAGTTTTTTTGGCTTACTATATGAGGCTTTCTTAATTTTTTTTAATTATTCAAATAGATTTTTACACTGTAAAAGTTAAAATGCAATCTCAATTTTTTTAGAAATGAAAAAAATTTTTATCTATCACAAAATATGCAATCAAAATTTAGAATAATGCAATATATATTTTTTTATTAAAAATAATCTATCAAACAAAGATGATTTGCTGAAATAAGTTTAAGAAATTGAGTGTTGGTTGAACTGATTTTAAATTTTATTTTTAGAAATGTAAAAAAAATATATAGTTCAGTATATTTAATTTTTTATTTAAAAAGTTGCTGGTTGGTTCAGTGGGTTTGTTTGTTTGGAGGAATTAAATAAACAAAAACATTTAAGATGATAATGAATGAATGAAAATAGATAAATTTATTTGTAAAATTTTTGAAGAAAGTAATTCATTCATTTAATGATTGAGTTAATTAAATGAAAATAATATATTGCCAAGAAGAAAGAAAGAAGTAATCATATCTTGCAAATAAAAAATAAAAAAGAGAATAGTAAAGGCAGGCAACACTTTCTAAAATTAAAATCTGATTATTTATTTGTAAAACGAAAGAAATAACTATTAATAAATAATCAATAGATAGTATTTTAAGTCTTACTTTAAAAAGTTGTGATAGAATCAATCAATCTTTTTAAGCTCAATTTTCAGCGAAAAAATTATATAAAATTTGTAAAAAAAACAAATAAAACTCAAAATAATAATAAGGAAAGCTAAAAAAAGTATAGAATGGAAGACGAAAGCCCTGCCATCGAAGATGTCTACACTTTCGATAAAGTATTAGGAGAGTAAAAAAAAATTAATTCAAATGATTTTCAAGCATGATATTGTCATATTCTGAATTATTTTATCATTTATTGGCATAATCTGTCAATCTGTCTATCCTGCAAATAAGCTCAAATATAATTAACAATTACAAACATGCTTAATAGATCAAACTTACAATTTTATTAAATTTTGGCTTAATTTCTTTTTAAAAAAAGAGGATCTTTCGGTATTGTCAAGAGAGCCATTAAAAAGGATACCGGTGAAGCTTTTGCAGTTAAAATGATCAAAAAGTATATATACTTTTAACTAGTTTTATTTCAAAGTTACTATGCACACATACTTACTTACTTAAATAAATCAAATTGGTTTGTCTGCATATGAAATATTCATATTTTTATTCGCAGCAATTCGACTAACTTAAATTATTTTAAAAGGGAAAATCTCGAAAGCGATGATATGAATGCTTTACAGTAAGAAGTCGAAATATTAACTGAAGTAATTTTTTAAACAATCAATTTATCTGTTTTTAAATATTTTACATAATTATTCAGATTGATCATCCAAATGTAGTAAAACTATATGAAATATATGAAGATGATGCTTATTTTTACATGGTTTTAGAGCTTATGACTGGAGGAGAAGTAATTAATTATTATGATTAAATTAGATAGATCGCTTAAATAAATGACAATTATTTGCATTTCAAAATTATTTTGCAACATGATTTTTTATTAACTAAACCAAAAAGTTATTCTAGCGTATTGTGGAAGCAGATCACTTCTCTGAAAGATAAGCAGCCGAAACTATTAAGCCTGTAGTAGATGCCTTGCATTATTGCCATGCCCTAAATATTGCTCATAGAGATTTAAAAGTAAGACTTAACAATTTAAAAGTGCATAAAAAATAAATAATTTTATCTAATAACTTAAATCAAAAAGCCTGAAAATTTACTTTATGCCACTAAAGAACCAGGTGCAGTTATCAAAATTTCAGATTTCGGTCTTGCTAGATTTGTAGGAGAAAATACAATGACTACTATGTGTGGTACTCCAGGTTACGTAGCACCTGATATTATTCTTGGATAAGGTTATGATAAGACTATTGATTATTGGAGCGTTGGAGTTATTCTTTACATCATGTAATTACTTACTTACTTAATTTATATTAATGTTTTAAATATTTTGTAAACAAAATGTTAAATAGGCTATGTGGTTTCCCTCCTTTTTATAGTGAAAATAATGATGAACTTTTTGAGTTGATTGTTAAGGGTAAGTTTGAATTCCCTTCACCAGCATGGGATTCTATTTCAAATGAAGGTAAAATAGAATTTTATTAATTTTGTGGTTACTCTTTTTTTTTCAATAAAAATCTATTTAATAAATAAATAGCTAAGGATTTAATCAAGGGATTACTTACAGTTGATCCTAAAAAGAGATTTAATTATGAAAAAATTAGTGCTCATCCCTGGTTGAATGGAAAGAGCTCTGACACAAGTATTCCTGATATTCAAAAAAAGATTAAAAATTTTTCAGCTTCCAAATAGTTCAAGGTAGATTCTTTCTGATTGATTTTGAATGAATTTAAGAAAAATAATAATTTATTTATATTATAAAAATAGAAAATTAAAATAGTTTTATAAGCTGTTAGCAAACTCAATAAAAACTAAAAAAGTCATTGATTGCTTGTTGCTTTCTTGGTTTCGATTTTGCTAAATATTTCTATAACAAAAAAAAATAAAATAAATAAATATATAAAAATATTATTCTAATATCCATTTTTAATATAATTTGTAAAAATGATTTTTATTAAATTCATTAATTCTTTTTATTGTATTGTTTTCATTATACTTCAATTTATACTTACCTCTTTTAAAAAAATTTATTCTTAATTCTTTTTTATAAAATGTACACTTAATTCTTATAAAATAAATAAGTACTTTTTTACAATCGATGAATTAATTAATTAAGGTATACTTCTTTTATTATTTACTACTCAAATTTATTAGAAATTTATACAATCATCTTACAACTTTATTCGTTCAATACACCTTAAATTATTATTAATTTATTTATTTATTCATTCAATCATTTTACTACTTTAAAGTTATTTAAACTTAGTTTAAATGCATCATTTAGAAATTTAAAAACAATGAAAAAAAATGAATTAAAAAATCTTAAATAATATTTAAAATTTAATAATTCATTGAAAATAAATGATTAAAGTTAATCATCTTAATTCGCAATTTTTTTCTTTGAATCCAGTCGATATTTTTCAATATCGAACATGATTAATTAGCAGTGATAGTTTATATATTTATACTTTTAATTTTTAATTGTGATTTTTTAAATTTTAAATGAAAAATATTTTTTTAATCTCTCAATTCATTCAAAAAATCCCCTTTCCCTAAGTAAATTTTTCATTGATTTGTTTTAAACTTCCATTTAAATTTAAAATTAAGATTTAATAATTTAAAAAAATATTTTGTAAGCTTTAAATCTAAAAACTGAATAATTTATTAAAAAAAATATTCTTAAGATATTTTAAATGTATAGATTTACAATTAGTGAATCAGTTTGTAAAATATCTTAAAATATTTAATATTTATAAATTAGTTTTGGTTGATTGTTTCCTTTTGTATTTAAATTATAAGTAAATTTTATTTTATTTTGGTAAGACCTGCCAGCTGATGGTTTTTTAAAACTTATTGCAAAATGAAATAAGCACTGACAAACTAACTGACAACAACAGAAACTTACAAAAATTTTTAAACATTAACTGAATAGCTAAAATAAACAAGATAGAAAGTGAGATAATCAATATATAGGGCTAAAAGTAGAATATAAAGATATTAAATTAAGTTCATTATAATAAAATTTTTTTTTATGACTTGTATTCATCCATTCAAATTAGAAATTAGCATTTAAATTAGGCGGGTTCATTAGCTTATTCACTAAAATGTGAGCTTGGATGAATTTGATTGAATAAAGATTATAAATAGATTTTTTGATAGTTAACAAAAGAAAAAAAATAAAAATGAATTGCATCTACCAGATTATAATTTGATTAAACCAATAGCGAGACAGACAAATAATTTATAAATAAATGATTTGTTTAGAGATGGTTTTATTTATTATGGCAAAGTGTATAATAAATGGGTGAGTGAGTGAGTATATTGCCTGCATGTATATATGTATGTATTTTGATAGGATAAAGAATATATAAAATTATCTTGATTTGTATAAATGAATGGAATAGTAAAGGGATTGATTGATGAGAATATGAGTGAGTGAATGCAGTATTTAATGAATTAAATAAAAATATCAATTTACAACTAAATAAAAAGAAAAAAATTAATTAATACATATCTTTTATTTAAAATCATTAAAGAAAAGAAGAAAAACAAAGAAAAATAAATAAATATCTTAGAAAATAAATGAGCAACCCTATTGAGCAATTCGACAACACTTATAAAGGATTAACTTATGCTTAGCGTCAGTTCCATTTCAGAGGCCTTATTAGCAGTCATGAACAATCTGTAAAGCAACATAGTTTGATTTATTAGCAAGAATAATCAAGGAATTGATGCATGCAAGCGCAAAGTCGAAGGTGTATTTGAGTTGATAAGTCAAGTAAATTGATATAACAAAGGCAGAAAGAAAGAAAGATAGATAGATTATTAGTTAACAAAGATCAAAGAATTACTTAAATAAGTCAATTCTAAGAATGGCAAATAACTTGCGGATGGGAGAATCTTGATGTTAAAATGATGTATATTCATTATTCCTGTTTTATTTAGAAAATACTTACTCTTTTGTCTAATTTGGGAATATATTTTGTTTGAGATAATAATTATTCAATTCATTCGATTCTATCAACTTAAATACACCAATTATCAATCAGCATCTTCCGATTAAAAATAAATAAATATATTTCAAATTATCACAGCAAACAATATTCATTCATCATTCTTTTAAATTTTTAATAAAATGTAGAATTCTCCTTATTTAGATTTGATTTACAAAGAATATTTAAGAAGATATCCTTTCAATTCATACTATTGGAATAGATATGCTCAACATGTTAAAAACACAACTTAATCAGCAGAAGAATCTGAAAAGATGTAATTTTAAACACACAATTTAAAGCCAAAGCGTTTTTCCTTGATATATAAATGAGGAAATTCAAATCAATTAAACGAAAGCAATAAAATTTAAACTTATTTTTAAATAATTAAAGCTACTAATACGCCATCCAAATGAATCCTAGATCCTACGATTTATGGCACTGTTATATTTCCTCAGTCAAAAGCGATAAAAACGATACTGCTGAAGAAGAAAAAGTTATCAAGTAATTACTTCATGTCAATTAAAAAATAATAGCGTCACTAAAATACTTTTATTGCTCTTTATTTTAATTTATTTGAAGGATTGATTTATTATTTTTCATAGCTTTTTAAAGGTATAAATTATCTTTTTGAATATTCGCAACAGAATAAAAAGGCTAATGATAATATAAAGCTAAACTTAAGAGATTTGATTTAATAAGCAAGTTAATAAATAAAATAAGTATAAATAAAGAGTATTATAGTATGTAAAGGAATCAGTGATATTTACAAAAATTAAAATGTAGCTCCAATTAACCTTAATAATGAATTAATTAATTAAAATAGGCTCATTGAATAGGCTTTGCAATATATTGGATACGATTTCAACAGTGCCATCTACTGGGAAGACTTGATTCGTCATTACTCTGAAAATAAGGAAGAATTAATTAAGCTCTACAGAAGAGCCTTGAGCATCGTAACTAAAAATTTCGATGACATCTATGAATAATACAACGCCTTCTTCCAATTCTGTTCTCCTGATCAAATTAAATCCTGCTATAATGCAATTTTGGGTACCTAACCTACTGAAGGTCAATCTCAAGATTGTAAGATTTTCAATTAATTTAATAACTATTTTTAATTGAAAATTATTTTCTAAAAAAGCCATGATATTGCAAATCAAGAATAATATTTCTAATTACAGTGAAAGAACCAAGGCTATCTCACAAGAAGTTTAAGGTTTTGAATCTAAAGTAAACAATCAATTTATCAAATTTATGATTAAATAATATTAAGTATTTATTTATTTATAAATATAAAAAAAGCTTACAAAAACTGAATATGATGGTGAAGCTAACAACGAATTAAATGTTTGGAATCAATATATTACTTTTGCCAAGACTAAATTAGCTCCTGAATAAGTTATCTTCCTTTATGAAAAAGCCTTAATCAGCCAAGTAAGAAAAAAAATTTAAAAAATTTTTTAAAAGTGATTTAATTCAAAAAATGAAATATTAATTAATAAAAAACAATTTATTTTAAAAAATAAATTTATTAGCTTTAAAAATGAAAAAAAATTAAGCAATTTAAATTAAAATATTTTTTTAATTTTATTAGTGTGATAAGGAAAGCTTATGGGTTGAATTCTTCCACTATTTGGAGTCATAAAATCAACATTCTGTTGCTTTGGGAATTTGCAGAAAATAAGAAGGATTTTTGAAATACATTAACATCAATAACTTATTGCTTTAATGGGCTGAATTAGAAGAATTATACTAATCATACGACCAAGCCAGAGAAGTTTACAAATTTGTTGTCTCTCATGAAGGAGGTAAATACATATTTTTATTATTTCTAAGCATAGGCTAATTTTTTGTTATGGTAATAGATAACTACTTAAAGAACTTAAGTAGATGGGCTTAATTCGAAAAAAGAGTCAGTTCTTAAGTAGAAAAGATCACTGAAATATACGAAAAGTTATTGTCTAACCCTAACTAAAAGCCTGATGTTTAACAATGGGCCATAAACGAGCTTTGCAAATTATTAGCTGGTAGCGAAAGAAAGCAATAAGCATTAGTAAGATACATCCACTTCTTCGAATCTCAACCCATCAATAAAGTTAATTATGCCCAATTACTCCAATTTGTATCTTAATACTTCTCATAAGAACCTAATTTGATTGAAACTTTGTCTGAAGTCTACGTTAATGCCATTAATGCTTCTAAGAAGGTAGTTAATATTAATTCAAATGAATGTATTTTTTTAATTAAATTTGGATAAAAAATAGAACGCATCTGAACTCAAGAATATTGTTAATATGAGTATTAGCCATCTTAGAACTATTTCATACAACATCAATGAAATTAGAATCACTGAATAAAAGTACTTTTTTTTCAAAATAATTAAATTTATTTTCTTCTTTTTTACTTTTTCAACTTTAATAATTTTTTTTTACTCTAAAACAGGATCAAGGCTGCTGAAAATCAATAAGGTTAAGCCAATGGTGAAAGCTTATTGAAGAAGAGAAGCATCGTCTAATTAGTCGGTGAAGAATCTATCAATGGCTACGATAGCGTTCACAAGCAAATCAAAACTAACTGAAAAGTAGAATATATGATGTGAACGGAATATTAATATTGATAAATTGTTTATATGGTCTTATTTGTATGTTTAAATTTATCATTAGTGAGTGAGTTAATGATGTAATCCATCAAATAATATCATTATTACAATCACATTATTTTAACTTTTAATAATCAATCAATCAATTAATACTTATCAATTACTACATATTTTAAATTGTTTAAGATTGACGCTAATTTTATTTTAGCGTTTTTGCATTTAAATTTCATATGAAAATTTAACAAACAGCATTCCCCATAAAACCCATAAAAGAAAGAAAGATACAAAAAAAAAAATAAAAAAATATTTGATTTAATTTAATTTGCAAAGTGTTAAAAACGACATAAATACTACTATAGCATCTATATCAATCCTCTATTTTGCCTAATTTTTGAATTTAAATCAATCGAAACTGGATAGATCAATTCAAGCTAGTAAATATCATAATCAGCAAATCAAAATAAATACTTTACAAGAAACATCATAATTATAGTAAATAAATAAACTCTATCAAACATTTGTTAATTCATTCTTCAAAATTTTTGATGAAATAAAATAATAAATAATAATTTTAGAAATCAATATAAATAAATAATTGATTTCAGTCAAAATAATTAATTTCATAGCTTCATATTTTTATTTAACCAAATAAAACAAAATTTAAAGTTCTAATTATTGGTAGACTCAAATCAATATTTTATTTGAAAAATAGGATGGATTTTCAGATAATGAAAGATGGAATGTATATTATATTTATGAACACATGACGACTGACTATTTATAGTCTTATGTAAAAAGTATTTCCAAAGAAAGAATTAAATTGAACATAGCAAAATACCTTAAATTAAATTTTTCAAATTTCAAAAATTAATTAGGAGCGAATTCAAATTTTGTTTATAAAAAAAAACACTACAAAATAAATAAATATTTATAAAATTAATTACTTTGTATCATAAAATTCTAAACAAATTTAGATTTTTTTCTTTTTAAATCTATTCTTTTATCAATTTCCTAGTGAATTTACTATCCTCGTATATCTTTTGCACCAACAACTCCACATCACCAAAATTAATTAGTAACTTTTAGGATTTAGCAAAGAATATCGCATTTATATGCAATATGAAATAATTGAACTAAACATCAAATGAATATTATAGTAATTTAAAATTTAATTGCTTTAGTAATATATGTATAATAAATGGCCAGAAAGCATTGGGTTATAACAAAGAAAGAAAATCTAATGAGGAAAATTATGTAAAAATTTGAATTATTTTTTGTGTCAGAATCTCAGATTCAAATTAATTAAAGGAAATCTTTGAATGAGGTGAGTGAGTGAATTTGTGATATTTTAATTATTACATAAGCTTTTTATGTAGAAGGGGAATGATGATTTTTGGCGCTTCTTAAGCTTTGTCAAATCAAAATATCTTAGTCAGTAGTTTAAATGCAATTTATTCTTATAATTAATTAATTATCAATAAAAACAACCAAAATATCTTACTTTCACTATCTTAAGATATTCAAATAATCACACATTAACAAAAACAACGCTAAAAAAACTTTATTGTACACAAGAACAATCGCTTAAATTTTTTCATCAAGCCTTAAATTATTTCTACTAAAAAGTTTTATTTTCTAAGTATTTGTCTTCAATTTGAATCCTATTTTAGTATTTAACTTTGCGCTTCAACTATGATTGAGGAATCCTCTACATTTTTCAAAGAAAGTCCTTCTGAATCTTCAACAACTATTTTAAAATTATAGTCCACAGGATTAAATCTAGATTCTTAGCTAACATAAATAGAGTTGCATGATGAGGATAACTTTCAGCACCTGGCTCTCAGTTATCAAAATAATTAATTGAGTTTCCAAATGCTTTCTATTTATTAGCTCCAAAATGACTCCTAAAAATACTTACGCGCTGAACAAATACAATTAAGTAAAGATGTCCAAGCAAGTTTGTCAATGAAGCTTCAAAACGTATAAGTAAAACAACTTAAAATGACCAAATAAGAAGTGAATAAATATAATTCAGATGATATTTTTGATGAGGAATGCTAAGAACCGGAATCTCCAAAATTTGCTACATCCACTCCTCAAATTAGCTATAAATAAACATATATTGCAGTAGTTATGTTAGATATTGAGATTATTGTTTTAAAATTTGAAATTCTAACAAAAAAAGAAAAAAGTAAATTTTACCATTCTCTTGAGCAGATTTGTATAAAAAACATACAATTTGAAGGGCATGTGAGTGAATTATTTTTAAACAAACAAAAAGAAAGCATGGTTATTAGAATTAATCACGAACAATAGACAAAAATTCATCTAATAGATAAGTTTATGGGTTAGCATATCATAAGAGATATAGCTGTTTATTATAATGACTTTGATATTGTTATTGGAAAAATTGGTGTCAGCTCTGAGCTTGCAGTAATTAGAGTCATCACAAAAAACTAAAAAGATTTAAAAAAATTCTTTATAAATACTCTGTTTGTGAGTCAGATTGGAATAAGTGGCATTCAAAATAACTAAGAAAATATGACATTAAAAGTACAAACCAATAAAAAACCCCTCACAAGCTTGTTGAATGAAATCAACTACACAACTTGCCAAACATTGTTTTCCTAAACTTCAAGCTATTTAGTTATCTCTGATGGGCAAAACATCGAAGTTTAGGATTTTAACAATATATCTTAAAAAAATGTCATAAAAGAATTCATACCAAAGGCTAATACAGGCTGCTAATAATAAAGCAAAGTTCAAAAAATAATGTAAAACCTTGAAAAATCTACACTTTTAATAGCTAACTCTTCTGTGAATCAGTTTGTTTCCCTATATAATTTTGATAATCCTATCTCAATATTGGATTAGATTAATTTTTCTAATAATGAGCAAGTTGCAATCAAATCTGTAATAGTGTCAAGCGTCCCTTATCAAGGTTTTACCCCTCAATCTGCAAGTAATTTGATGGAATCCTTTTCACATATTAAGGCTTCGATATACTCTAATCAAATTCTCGCTTTAGCTTTCTTAGAAGATAACTCAATAGTTCCTTTTACTATTGATAAAGAAATCCTTGATATGAAAGTCCCAGAACTCAAATTTGTCAGTAGCTAAATTACGAATATGTATAACTATGAAGACTCATAGCACTTTTTTAATGACTTCGAATCAGGATTCTCCAAATAAATCAAAGCTAACTTTGATGTCTTCAAAACACCAGATAGAAAAGCTTCTTTCACTTTCTTAAATTCTTCACTTGAAAATAATAAATTTCACTTTTCAAGCAGCGTATTGCCATAAAACTCAAGCAGCTAACCTAACAACGCTAACTACAGCAGCTAAACAAATTAAAACTTAACATTTTAATCTCACTAAAGATAAGGTATATATAAAATAATTTTAATATTAGTTTGATTTTAATTTATATTTATTTTCATAACAGGTAAGAGCTTGAACTTTGATCACCCAGGAACTAACAGAGAAAGAGAAAGAAGTGTTAGTCAAGAAAGTAATTCAAGCAGAAACTTTTCAGCCTACAAGCCATCAATAAATGGCTCTAATCTAAATAATAAAAAGACTTTGTTTAACGAAAACAGCAATACTCTATTTGCGGATGATTGCTCTTATCAAATTCAAAAGGCTAATAAAAAAGAAAAAGACATTCAAATTAACCCTATTCTACAAGATAAAATATCACCTACTCAACAAAAAATAAATGAAACATAAAATTCATCTGAAAGCGAAGAATCTGAGCTAGTTTATTCAAGACCAAAGTCATTCAAACTCGACACCTACGAAGGCTCTCCGCTCTTAACTAAATAAAAAATGTCTAATCGCTCAGTCCCAGGAAATTCAAATAGATTTAAAGATTTCAGTAGAATAGCTATGAAAAAATAAATAAATGCTTCTGATAACATTCCCTTGCCAATCTTCAACAAAACTGAAATAAGCTAAGATGACATTATAGAACCTAATAGCTTCTCCTAGAGAAGAAAATAAAATAACTTTTTTGAATGTCATTCTTCAACTCATGAAGACATTGAAAATACATATAACAGCAAGCAAACCACTCAATCATCAAACGAAATTTCCCTTGTATCTTACAGAAGAAACTCAAATTAGCAAACTTTTAACTTAATTAACAGCTAAAATGAAATAAAAGATTACGAAAATGAAGACATATCTAATATCCAATCTTAAGAGTTGAATTATAATAATTAGTAAGAGCATGAACAACTTACAATTAGTTCTAAGAAAATTAACATTTAAAGAGAAAACAACATTTTTGATAAAAACTTGAGCACTACCACTACAATTTCCAAAATATCTAAGGCAAATAACAGTAGTGAAAGTAAGAACAAGAACAACTCTTCCTCGAAAAAGAAAAACATAACTCCTTTTTTAACAACTTCACCTTCTCCTTAATCACCTTTATTAGGTGGCATATACAATTCTTCCTAGTTAAAGAATCCTTCTATCAATTAAAAACTACCCTATAATAATTTTTCATCATTTTCCTATCCCAAAAAAACTCATCCATTCATGAACTAAAGTATCAAATCTATAGACTTCGATGCATAGAATACTTAGCAGCTCTCTAATGAAAAGCAATAAAACGCTTTTAAAAATCATACACTCTAATACGAAGGTAAAAATAAGTCATTTTTGGATGAATCTACTCTATGTTTATAATAACCTATTTTCAATAGTAGTTATTTCTTTAATAACACTTAAAACAATAACAATAACAACAACAATTTCAGCTTTATATCTAATCCCAAAAAGAAATTTTAACCTCTTCAATAGCAACAATAACAAATGAGTTAATAAAATTCCTAATAGCTCCTAGGTAAACGCAAATCTTAGTAATAATTATTAACTAGCTTTAGTGGGAATTTATCTTAACTAGAAACAAGAAAAATGGTTAAAAAGCAATAAGATTGATTAAATTTAAACTATTTCAAAAATTTATCTTTTAAAGTTCTATGCTATAATAAAATCTATTAGAAAATCTACTTTTTTCAAAAAAAACATATAAAATTAACTAACAAATAACCAAAATTAATTTCATATTTCATATTTCCTATATTTTAATAATTGTAAATGTATCCTATCTTTCCTTTTATAAAAATTGTTTGTATATTATTATGATCGATCAAGAGTTATTTATATAATTTTTTTCAAATTCATTTTAAAATATATTTCATTATTCACATTTACGAACTATTATACTATACCCATTTAAATTATTTTAAATCGATAAATTACAAAAAAAATTTTAAAGATAAATTTAATTTAAACTTTAATATTTTTTTTGTATTACAAATATAAGTTAAAATTAATTATGAAATAATGAACACAGTAATTTTTATTATATTATAACTTAAATATAACTCATTAAAGATGAAATATTTGAGATTATATTTAAATAAATAAATTGTTATAAAAAATGCATTGGTTTTATTTATTTATTTGATAAAATAAAACAAAATGATACAAAATTGAATTTAAAAATGATTTTTAAGGTAATTAAAATATAGATATATTTAAAATAAAATAAAAGATTTTAATTATAAATAGTAGGTAAATTAAAAACATAAATTAAAAACTCAATCCCAGAGAATATCTTTCAATTTTCCTTATTCCCATACTCCAGCAATAACTTTTCCATCATTTGTGTAAAAAGAGCCTTAGCCTTCAGGAATACCTTAAGCAAAATTTCCAACGTATTTTAAATTATCTATAAAATACATAGTTCCAAAGCCTTATATTTAGTTTTGTTTCATATCACCTTCATATCTAATCCATAAGTTTAAGGTTAATATTTATGAAAGCTCATTATGATCAATCACAATTGCTTAACTATCGTTTTGATTTCTATTTACCAATATACCACTTCCATCATATTATCCGTTTTTCCAGTCTCCTTTGTAGAGTTCTTTTCCATTTTTATCTCTAAGAATGCCGTAGCCATTAGGAATATCATTTTCCATGCTACCTTAGTACTCATCTTCGTTTTCATAGACTTTCTTTTAAAATTTCTTTTTTGAGTTTTAAGGAGTTTAATACATATTTTTTTAGAAGGATTTCCTGAATTAATTCACAGTACTTTTGAATTCTATTTTTTAATCACCAGTAGGAGTTTGATCTCCATTTTAATTATTAGTGATGGGAGTTGAGATAATACAATTTTCTTTATTTTCATTTGGCTAACTTTAATCCAGCTTTAGATTGGATTTTTATAAAAGGCTTATTGGAGTTTATATAAGCTATTGCTTAGGTGTCTCCTTTATTTTATTCACAGAATTTTTAAATTCTAGTTAAAGTTTTTTAAATTCTGCTTAGTTTTGAGAAATTTAGTTTAATGTTTGTTCGCTTTCTTCTGTATTTCCATTTTGTGAAATAGAAATATGCAAATTTTCAGCTTGTCTTTGTGCATATGAAGTTTAAGGATTAGAAATAGAATTATTTTAATTTGCAATAGTTCCAATCGGAATCATATTTTTGTTATCGCTGTTAACTATACTATTTATTATATGCTTTTATGGACCTTATTTATTTGTATTTATAACTTATTGAATAGTTTTAATAGGCGATTCCTCTTGCTTTATAGGTGTTTACTGCTTATTTTTTACTTTTTCTGCTGTTTACTATGGAGTTAAATCATATAATTTTGACACATCTAGTAATTCTTACCTCTTTTGTTCGTTGGCTTTCATTTATTGCTGTTTTTCAGCAACTAATTTTTTAACTTTTTCAGATTTTGCTATGGCTTCATTAAGCTTTTATTAATTGTCCTGCACTTTTTGAGGAAGTTCTAGTTTGAATGGAATAAATTATTACTGCTGTTATTAAGGCATGGAGTTAGTTTTGTAAAAATTTTAACCGCTTGAATAAAATGTTTGTTATGGAGATTAAACAAAGTTATTTCTGCCAGTAAACATGAAACCCTAATTTTAATTAAAAGTTGGTGATTAAGCTCTTGACGATGGAGTGTATAGGGTTTGAGCGACACCAAGCATGTATGGGCCTTATTGAGTGACTAATTGATTTTAATTAGCTGTTTACACTGTGCCATTGAATGAATCTTTATTTATCCTTTAAGTTTAAGGTGAGATAGCTCTCTATATTGGAGAGGAGAGTAATGAATTTAATCTATGGGATGGCTAAGGAGATAAATTACGACTTAGAAGTCTTTCGTTAGGGGAAGTTGCAGATGTAATGTTAATTGTATTGTTATTTGCAGGAAGAGATTGCATTGTTAATCTGCTATTTTATAATTGCTATTAATGGAATGATGTCTATCTTTAAATTTTTTAAGTCTGATTGCTTTGAATGTATTAACCTGTATTAGTCTATTATTATATGTATTAAGGAGAAATAAAATGCTGATTTGAGGCTATTTATTTCTTAATCGGTTCAGTATTTTAATATCTTTGCAGCTAATTTTCCTATTTCTAAGTTGATTGTGGAGATCTCAAGTACTAACCTAGATCAGCCTATGAATTTGAAGTTCTATTTTGTTAAGGTATTTGACCTTGCTAAAAAACACTTAAATTGCTTCTCATCATAGGAGAACTAACTCCCGACTATATCTATGGATGTATCTAATAAGGCTAAGATACAAATCCTCCTGCTTAAGGTATTGGGTTTTGCTGCAAATATGGACTTTAGAAAGGACTGACAACTCTTCCTAAAGGAAACCCTCCTTGAATTTATAATTTAGGAGTTTATTAGACTATTTAAGGAGAAACAAAGTTCATTTGAATTTTATAATTTGATTTTTATTTATTTTTTATAAATCAGATTTTGATTTTATTCTTCTGTTTTTACTTATTAGGATTTATTCTTAAATTTCTTAACCTGGCTAACTAACTAACTAACAAACAAACTAACAATCAAAATAAATAAATGCATATACACATACATAATAGACTGATTAATGTATTTGCAAAAGCAAGTAAATAATACTCATAAATTTATTTTAAATGCTTGAATTTAATTCATTTTTAACGCTTATAAAATGCATTCGATAAACTAAGAAACTACTCCAAATCTGACTAAAAATATTAAATATTTAATTTATTTCTAACCAAAAGATTTTTTAAGATCTCATCTATAATTTTAAAGCTAAAAAATAAAAATTAATTCTTTTAAAAACATTATTTTTTATTATAGTAGATTAAGAAAAAATACTCATTTTATAATTCCAAAGTAGATTGATTGGTGTTTTCTAAATAATTATCATAATTAAAAAATAAATCCTTTTTTACATACTTTTGAGGAGTTTATAATTTAAGAACATTTATTAATCTAAATATTATCTATCGAATTAAATATTTTGATAATTATTTTTTTTTCAAAGTTTCAAGGCATGTTAGATTTGTATTGAGATAGATAATATTTCTACTTTATTTTTATAGAAATTTAGTTTGTTATAAAAAATAAATTCTATTAAATACTTTCAAAAGAATATTCAATTGATTAATAGATTTTTAGAAAATGATTAATATTCCAATATTCTAGAAATATAAATATTTAAAATTTTGTTGTATATGAGAAGATTTTAATTAATTTTAGGATAACATATATATATAATAAAGCAATAGAAAGGATGGATTTAAAAGAATCATAACTTGACTTAGAAGAATTGAAGTCTCTCTTAACTTAGTCTAGGAGAGTAAATGTTTAGGAATTATTGAAGAAGTAAATAAGACATATTGAGGTAGAAATTGAATAAATTTAAAAAGCCTAGGCAAGTTAAGAGCAATAAAAGAGCTAGGTAATGGAAGAAGAGAAACCCTCTGCAAAGCCAGCAGATTAACAACAAAACTTAAAGTTCATAACTTTGACAAAGTATGCTTGGGATCAAAATGGCTAAAATGTTAATGTTTCATTGTACATTGACGATATCTCTAAGGTGAACCCTTCTAATGTTTAGGTTACCTTTACAGATTAAAGCTTTGAAGTAAAAGTTTTAGATTTGAATGGTAGAAATTACAAGTTTGCTATCCCAAAGCTTTATGATAAGATAAAGCCCAGCGAATGCAAATATGTAATTAAAAGCTCGTCAATTTCTATTAAGATGAAAGCAACTAAAAGTTATTGGAGCTAGCTTACTTACAAAGAAGATGCTTTTAAAGCCAAAGGAAGTGATGAAGACTCGAAAGATCCTTCTAAATCATTGATGGATATGATGAAAAACTTATACGAAACAGGAGATGACAAAATGAAGGAAACAATTGCCAAAAGCTTCTAATAAGCTTAAAGACAACAAATGAATCCAAACTCTAAAGATAAATTTGGTGATAATGACTTTGAGGATTTTTGAAGAGACAGACTACAGAACTTATAAAGTATAAATTTAATATATGAGTGAGTTTATATGTAAAATATAGATAGATAGATTCTTAATATTTTTTGTTTGTATAAATTATATAAGTAAAATGCGTGGTAAAAACTTTGATGAATGATTAATTCTTTTTTTTAGTTATTAAGAAGTTTTAAAAAGAAAATAAAAAAAGTAAAAATAAAACACTTTTATTTTTATTATTTTTTTATATTTTGCCATTATTAAAAATTAGAAGATACCTTTTGGTTTATTTTTCTATTTTCGAGTAATTTTAATAAACAAAATATAATAAAATTGTGAGCAAATATACATACGATTATATAATATTTTAATAAATCTATTACCTGCATTTAATGCTTTGTAGTTTTTTTTTTGAAATATGATAAGTATTTTATCTGCTATAAATACTCTAACTAGCTTTAAACCAATTTTTTTAATTCTAATATTAACAATTGAACATTTAAATTAAAAATATTTTTAATAGATTATTTTAAATTTTGAAATATTTTTATTGAATAAGATAAAATCATAAATTTTTCATTCTATTTGAAATAATTTAAATAAAAATAAAATGCAATAAATAAATACCTTTAAACAAGACATATAATAAATTCTGCATTTCTATATATTAGCCATATTTTTTTATCCAATATCCAAAAGAAAGCCCCAAGGTTATGTTTTTTAAATTTGTAGATTAAATGATTGAAGATGAGGTATATATGGAAGTATACATATTTTATATCATAAATACTATCTTTAGTTATGAATAAACATACTGTTTTCACCAATAAAATGATAACTTGTGTTTCAGAATTTTCTATTTTGATGTATTATTTGTAAAAAATAAAAAGGCAGAAAATAAATAGATGATACGAACTAATATATTTAAATTAAGAAAATAATAAACTACTTTTTTTTTGTAATATAAAAACAAAAAGATTAATTGTGAAAATTAATAATAAATAAATTAATAAATAAATAATTAGAAAAAGTTTTTGATAAAAATAAATTTAAGCAAAAAATGTTTATATTATATAAGATATTCAACTAAAAAGACTAAGATAAAACAAACACTTAGATAGAATGGAGTGGAGAATATTCCGATGTTGAAATAAATAAAATACACATTCCTATTCCTACTTTTGCTAATGAAAAAGCCGTAAAGTAGTTATAAGATGCTGTAAAAGAAGTTTAAAATTCAATTAATGATCATTTGGATAATCAAAACTAAAAAAACTAAATTTTAGAAATGATAAATGAAGAATTCATTAAAAGAAATGTAGATTTTATTGAAAAGTATTATTAAAAATCTCAAGAGTTGAATGAAGAAAAAAAAGAAAATGAACTCAAATCACCTGACAATTCTAGTGAAAACTAGCTAAATTAAAATCCTTAATAAGATAACTCTGGTAGAACTAATTAAAATTAATTTAACTATGGCCTAATTTAGAAATACAAAATTTACAACCAAAAAACACTCAAATAATATAAGAATGATTTGAAAAAACTTTTAGAAGAAATAATAAAAGACAACTAAACATTTTGCCAAAGATTATAATAAGACATTAACGATTCAATAAAATCAAAAGAAAAAAAATAAAAAGAAAAAGAAAAGGATATGAAAACAAATATCAAGAACCCTTACTTGTATAGTGAAGATGACTATAAAATAGATGTACAATAGTGTAATTAAATTTTGGAATCTATTGATAATTTTGGTGTAGATCAGTGTGACGTGTAGGTAAAAAAAAACAAAGATCTTAATATTGAAGGGACGATAACTATCAATTTCCAATAAAATAAGAAACTTAAAACTATTATATATTCAATATTATATCGTGGTATTTGCTAATAAGAACATAAGAGTGCAAAAAAGTTTATTTACAAGATATTAGGCTATATCGACCCAAAATCATCTGGATTTCAATCTGAAAATTTTATTCTCAGACAAATTTTCTTACACTTTTTAAGTATCTTGAAAACTTGTGCTAACTATAAAGAGCAATTAACTGAATTTTTAAAAAAAATTTTTAAATTTGAGTTCATTTCTTCATTAATCTTAAATTACTTGTTGTCTTCAGCCTTAAAAATTCTTAAAAAACCAAAAAATGCAGATGAAAATGAAGATATAGATTCCTTAGCAAGAGTATATAGCTTAGACTTATTTTTAACTGATCGCAAACAAATTAAAAAATATAAACATAAAAATGAAAAATATGGTCATATTATATTTATTTATTTCGAATAATCTTTAGAATAAGAACAAAATTAGGCAATTTACTTTCTCGATAAACCTAATGACGAATTACGTATTCGTGCTTATCCTGATTAACAGTGATTAAATTAAAGTATTCTTTTCAAAAGATAATATTCAATAATCATTCATAACAATCCTTACTTATTGATTAGTTTTTTTTTAATCTATCTATCTTTTTATGTTTTATTAGTAACTAATTCTGATCAAATTTACTTTTTTAATTTAAACAAAAATCTTTGTTGAAGTACAAATAATTATTAAATATTTTGAAAATTTTAATTTTAAATATCTTTTTTTTTTTTAAACTTTTACTAATTCATAAATTGAAATATCACCAATTGTGTTTTTTGTTATTTTTGATGATGAAATTTCATTTAATTTTTATGATTTTTAGCTAATAATTTTAAGCTAAAAATAAAAATTAATTTTCTAATGCCAAAGCATTTTGGTGTTTTCTAATGGTTAATAAAAAAAATAAATCCTTTTTATAAAATAATTATGAAGAATTTTTAATATTTTAATATTTAACATTATAAATATTATCTATTTAATATCTATCTAATTAATTTTTTTGATTATTATTATTATTATTTTTTCTAAATTTCGTGGATTGTTAGATTTGAATTCAAGTACATAATATTTCTACTATATTAAATATTCAAATGGATATTATTACAAAAAATAATTTATTTTAAATATTATCAATAATATATATTGATCATTAGAATTTTAGAAAATCATTAACATAGATATAAAAATATTTTAAAATTTGTTACACATGTGAAGATTTAAATTAAGAATATGCACGCATAAAATAGTATTAGAAAGGATGGATTTAAAAGAATCATTAATTGGCTTAAAAGAATTGAAGTCCTACTTAAATTAGTCTAGGAAAGTAGGTGTTAAGAAATTGCTGAAGAAGTAAATAAGACATATTGTGGTAGAAATTGAGTAAATATATTAAAAACTTATGCAAACTTAACTAAATCATGAATGGATATGATGAAAAACTTATACAAAATATGAGGTGATGAAATTAAGGATATAATTGCCAAAAGGTTCTAATAAGCGTAAAGCACAAATAAATCCAAGTTCTAAAGATAAATTTTGTGATAAAGACTTTGAAGCAACCACATGAACTAATAAAGTATAGATATAATAAATTGTGTGACTAAGTAAAAAAACACTGATTATCAATATTTTTTGCATATTATGTAAAAGTAAAAGTGATAAGAAAAATGTGTTTCTAATAAATTCATCTTATCAATAATATCTAAAATTGTATTGTTTTTTTAATAACTACACATATTTATTTATTTATTTTAAAACACTTTGTTTTTAGAAATAAGCAGTGGTTAGTGCGTGATTCTATTTTTTTTTTCTTAATTAAGTAAGAATTTGTCTATTTTGAATGAAAATTTGATCTAAAGTGGTTTAGATTATTTTTATATTTTGCCATACCTGATCAAATAAAAATAATAAATTGCGCTAATATACCATAATATAATGCTATAATAAATCAATTATAGCATGTGTTTAATGCTTTATAATTTTCTTTTTGAAATGTTATAGATATTTTTATCTATTTTAAATACTCTTACTAACTTTAACCCAATTTGGTTAAGACTAATATTAGATGGTGCATCATTTAAATTAAAATATTCTTAATTGATTGATTATTTTTGATAAACTACCACAGAGGAACTAATAAAGTATAATTATATATAGGCGCGCAAGCGTTTATATGTAAAATGCAGATAGATTTTCAATATTATTTGTTTAGAAATATTATAAATATTTTTATCTACTATAAATACTCTACTAATTTTAGCCTATATTTTTTAAGGCTAATACTTCACGTTAAGAACTAATTAAAAATTTGATTGAAAAATTATAAAGATTGATACAAATTAAAATTATAAATACAGTAAAAAGATTAATTATGAAAATAAATTAATAATAAATAAATAATTAACTATTTAGAAAAAAATCTTTGATAAAAATAAATTTTAGTAAAAATGAATAAATATTTCATAAATAATCCTCTACCATACCATCAAATTTACAACACCAATTAAGGTGAAAATAACATAAAAAAGAATTAAGAATTCGATGGAAATTTTTCTTATGCTTAATTAAATGAAATACAAATTCCTATTCCTAATTTTGTTGAAAATACAATCATATAGTAATTACAAAATGCTGTAAAATAAGTTGAAAGATAAGTTAATGATTATTTGTAAAAGAAAAATTCATAGGAAATTTTAAACATGATAAACAAAGAATTCATTAAAAGAAATGAATCTTTTATTGACAAGTATTATAAAAAACCTCAATAGTTGAATTAAGAAAAAGAAGTAGGGCTCAAAGTACCTGACAACTTTATTGAAGAATAGAAAAATTAAAGTCCTATACTAGTTGAAACAGATGATACAAATACATTTAAAGAAATTAAAAAATAAAAAAATTCAAAATAATCTTAACTTAACAAAGGTTTAATTTAGAAAGGCCAAATTCATAACACAAATTAATTAAATAGCTATGAGGATGATTTGAAAACATTATTAGAGTAATCAATAATCTACAGCTAACAAAATAAAGAAAGAATATAGTCAGACATTAAGCAATAATTAAATTAAATTAAAGAATAAGAAAACAGTAACAAAACAATTATCCAAAACCATTACTTATATAGTGAAGTTGACTATCAAATAAATGAAGAGTAGTTAAATAAAATTATGCAAACTGTTGATAAGTTTGGCTTAGATAGGTGTTAAGTGTAGCAAAAAACGAACTCATTTCTTAAAATTGAAGCGATAAATTTCAATTTTAAAAATAATAGGTTATTGAAAACTATTACATATTCAATATTATATCGTAGCATTTGCTAGTAAGAGCTTGAGAGTGCTAAAAATTTTATTTACAAGATTTTAAACTTTTTGAACCCAAAATCAAAAAGATTTGAATAATAAAATATACTTCTGAGGCAAATTTTCTTACACTTTTTATGTATCTTGATAATTGATAATTAATAGTAAGCAATCATATTCTTAAATAAAATTTTTAGTTTTGAGTCCATTTCTTCATTAATATTAGATTACATGAGTTATTCAGCCTAAAAAATGCTCAAATTATAAAATCTAAATAAAACTGAATATGAACAGATAGATTGCTTAGCAAATGGATATAATTCAAACTTATTTTTATCTGATCGCAGTGATAATTTTAAAAATTTTCCACTTAGAAATAAAATTAGTTCCTCATTTGATATAATATTTATTCATTTCGAATAATAAATAAACTAAAAACCAAATTAGGCAATTTACTTTGTCTTTAATCCTAATGACAGGCTTCAAGCTTTATATTCCAAACATAATAGTAATAATAATTTGTTTTGAAAAATTTTTTTAATTTTGATGGCTCAAACAATTATTATTGAATCTGATTTGATTTTTTCTACTATCTATTTATTTATTTATTTATTTATTAATCTATCTATATGATATTTGTAATTAATTCTGATCAAATTTGGTTTTTTAATTTAATTAAAATTCTGTTAATTTAAATATTTGTTGAAGTATAAATAATTATTAAATATTTTGAAAAATTTAAATTATAAATTTCGTTATAAAATTAAAACTATTAAACAAAATAAGTTTTAATTATTTTCAATTTCATTAAATAAATACTAAATATATTGAAAATATTTTTATTTTAATTACCAATATCAAATATTAAAATTCCTTAGTTTTTATTTATTCTAAAATAAAATTATACAATGTGCTTAATAAAATCAAATATTAGAGTAATTCATCTTTAAAGAAAATAAAAACCCTAACAAGCGAAATATACAAGGTGATTAATTGCGTATGGGCATACTATGTATTTTTAGAAATTTTGTGTATAAAAATATTAATTTTTTAATTTTTTTACAATACAGCCAAATCATTCATTTTAGACTAAATTATTGAAAATGAGGTATATATATATGTACTTTTAAAATCATAATATAAATAAAATGACAGTTGTTTTCCTAAAATTTTCTATTTTTCTGTATCAATGTTAAAAATATGCTTAAAATAGATAGATGATAAAAACTATTTTATTTAAATTTAGAAAAAATATAAAAAGATTAATTAAGAAAATATAATAAATAAATAAATAAATAATTAATTAACTAGTTAGGTAAAAAAGTCATTCGTTGATCAATATATATTTTAGTAAAAAATGTAAAGATAATTAAAAGATAATCTTGTAGCATACCCTCAAATTTACAGCAATAATTAAGGTTAAAATAATAAAAGCAATATAAAAAAGAAGAAAGAATGAGATGGAAATTATTCTTATGCTTAATTAAATGAAATATATATTCCTATTCCTAATTTTGTCAAAGATACAATCATAGAATAATTACAAATTGCTGTTGAAGAAGTTGAAAATTAAGTTTTTGATTTGGGAAATCCAAATTTAATATTCTAAGTTTTGGAAAAGATGCACAAAGAATTTATTTTTAAAAATGAAGCTTTTATTAAAAAATATCATAAAAAATCTCAATAATTGAATCAAGTAAAAAAAGAAATAGAATTCAAAGCACCTGAAAACTCTATAGAAGAATAGAAAATTTAAAATCCTACAGATGAATCAGGAGATGCAAATACATTTGAAGGAGATAGATAATCACAAAATTCAATTTCACTTAGCCAAATAGCTTAAAAAAATATAAAAAAGAAGAAAGAATGGGATGGAAATTTTTCTTATGCTTAATTAAATGAAATATATATTCCTATTCCTAATTTTGTTAAAGATACAATCATAGAATAATTACAAATTGCTGTTGAAGAAGTTGAAAATTAAGTTTTTGATTTGGGAAAAACAAATTTAATAAATTAAGTTTTCGAAAAGATGCACAAAGAATTTGTTAAAAAAAATGAAGCTTTTATTAACAAATATCATAAAAAACCTCAATAATTGAATCAAGTAAAAAAAGAAATAGAATTCAAATCACCTGAAAACTCTATTGAAGAATAGAAAAATTAAAATCCTATGTCATCAGGAGATGCAAATACATTTGAAGGAGATAGATAATCACAAAATTCAATTTCACTTAGCCTATCTTAAATTAACCAAAGTTTAATTTAGAAATACTAAATTTATAATAAAAATTAACTAAATAGCTATGAAAATGATTTGAAAAGGTTTTTAGTGTAATCAATAAATTGCAGCTAACAAAATTGCTTAAAAATATAGTAAGACATTTAGCAATAAATAAAATTAAAAGAAGAAAAATAATAAGCAAAAATTCAGAAAACAATTATCAAAAACCCTTATTTATATAGTGATGATGACTATAAATTAAATGAAGAATATTTAAATCAAATCATTCAAACTGTTAATAACTTTGGTGTAGATAGGTGTCAAGTGTAGGAAAAAATAAACTCAGTTCTTTAAACTGAAACAATGACTATCAATTTCAAAGAAAATAAGTTATTGAAAACAATTACATATTCAATATTATATCGTAGCATTTGCTTGTAAGAGCTTGAGATTGCAAAGAAGTTTATTTACAAGATTTTAGGCTATATCAACCCAAAATCAAAAGGATTTGAATAATAAAATTTTCTTCTCAGACAAATTTTCTTACACTTTTTATGTATCTTGATAAAAGATGCTAACTATTAATAGTAAACAACATAATTTTTAAATACTATTTTTAGTTTTGAGTTCATTTCTTCATTAATTTTAGATCATTTGTAGTATTAAGCCTAAAAAATTCTTAAAAAGTCAAATAATCCAAATAATGATGATATATAGGAGCAGATAGATTGCTTAGCAAAAGGATATAACTTAACCTTATTTTTAATTGATGGTAAAAATAAAGGTAAAAAATATAATCATAGAGGTAAAAGTAGTTGTTCATTTGATATAATATTTATTTATTTCGAATAATCTTTATACTAATAACCAAATTAGGCAATCTTATTTGTCATTAATCCTAATGACAAGCTTAAAATATAATATTCCAAATATAATTAATAATGATTATTCTTAAATTTGATTTTTTTGTATTATTTATCTATATATCTATCTATGTCTTACTTGTCACTAATTCTGATCAAATTTAGTTTTTTAATTTAATTAAAATTCTGTGTTAATTTAGATATTTGTAGAAGTAGAAATAATTATTTTGAAAATTTTTAGTTATAAACTTCATTATAAAATTAAAACTATTAAACAAAGTAAATTTAATTATTTTAAATTTCTCTAAAAAAATATTAAATAAATTGAAAATATTTATTTTATAACCAATACCAATTATTAAAGTACTTTAGTTTTTATATTTATAATAAATTTATATAACGTGCTTAATAAAATCAAATTTGAGAGCAATTCACCTTAAAGGAAATAATAACCCTAAGATTTGAAATTTAAATGCTTTTGAAGAGTTTTTAATATATTAATATTTATCAGACTAAATACTATTTATCTATTATCTATCAAATTAAATTTGTGGTAATTATTTTTTTTTTTTCTTCAGAATTTCAAGGTATGTTAGATTTTAATTTAGATAGATAATATTTCTACTATATTAAATATCTAAATGTAGTTTATTATAAAATATAAATTATTTTAAATGCTATCTATCAATAAAATATTTTGATTATTAGAAAAACAAACATTTACATACCTTCCAATATTCTAAAAATAAAAATATTTTAAAATTTGTTATACATAAGTAGATTTTAATTAACCTAGGATAATTAATATACATACTTGATATAGGAATAGAAAGCATGGAATTAAAAGAATCATAAATATACTTAGAAGAATTGAACTCCTTCTTAAATTAGATTAGGAGGATAGGTGTTAAGGAATTACTGAAGAAGTAAATAAGACATATTGAAGTAGAAGTAAATATAAAAACCTAGCTAGGCAAGCTAATTAAAACATTAATAGATGTGATGAAACACTTATGCTAGATAGGAGATGATAAAACGAAGGAAACCATTACCAAAAGCTTCTAATAAGCTTAAATACAGCAAATTAATCCAAGTTCTAAAGATAAATTTGGTGATAACGACTTCAAATATTTTAATATACAACATAGATTCTCAATATTTTTTGTAAATATTATCTAAAACAAAAATGATAAATAAGTAAAGTGTATGGCTAATAAATTAATCTTAGAAACTATAAGTAAGAATTGGTGTATTTTTAATGAAAATTTGATTATAGGTTCAATAACAGCCTGTGTTTAATGCCTTATAATTTTCTTTTTGAAATATTATTAATTTTTTTATCTATTATAAATACTCTTACTTAATTACTTTAACCTAATTTGGTGAAGCTAATGTTCGACTACAAGAACTAATAAAGTATAGATAGATTCTAAATATTTATTGTCTACATTATGTAAATATAAAAGTGATAAGCAAAATATGTAGATTGTAAATTAATTTTAGCAATTTTACTAGAAATTATAAAGCTTTTTAGTTTATTGCACATACATGAGCAAATTAACCATAATAAAAATGCAAAAAAAAAAATATATTCTAGAATGTGTTTAATGCTTGATAGTTTTCTTTTTGTTTTTATCTACTATAAATACTCTACTAGCTTTAACCCAATTAGGTTAAGGCTAGTATTAGATAGAAGATTGAAAGCCGAATAAGAGAAACGACTAAGACTCTTTATACTTACTTAATCATTCAAACAAAATAAGGTATATATATATATATATGTGCCTCTTTTATATCATAAATACTATCTTTACCTTAAATAATGAAAGAAAGTACTTTTATCATAAATAAAATGACACTATCTTCTTAAAATTTTCTATTTTGATGTAAAAAATGTGAAAAATACGCAGAAAAGAAATAGATAATACAAAATATACTCTTTAAATGTAGACAAAAAATAAAAGTATTATTTACAAAAAAAAATACTTTTATTTTTTTTTTTGTAATATTAAAACAAAGAGGTTAATTAAGAAAATTAATAAATAAATAATTAACTAATTAGAAAAAAGCTTTTTGATCAAATTAAATTTGAGTAAAAATGTTTAACAGATAGAACAATTAAGAAGAAAAAAAGGGTATTGAATTTAAATAACTTCCATTTAAATTCAGGAAATATTGGGATGGAGATTTTTATTATGCTAAATTAAATGAAATAGAAATTCCTATTCCTAATTTTGTTGAAATGAGATTCATAACTTAGTTATTCTAAGTTGTTGAAGAAATAGAAAAGTCATCTTAAGAATATTTGGAAAGAGAAAGTCCAAAATTAAAAATCTAAATTTTAGAAAAGATAAGCAAAGAGTTCATTAATAAAAATTAAGCTGTTATTGACAAACATTCTAAAAAACCTCAAGGATTGGATGAAGAAACAAAAGAAAAAGACAAATAGAAAAAAGAAAATAAAATAAATAAGTAAGATAGTAAACCTTTAAAAGATCATGTATAACAATAGTAAATAATTTACAATCAAGACGTTAAGCAAAATTAACTTTAAGACGAAGAAGTAAAATCATAGGGTTCAAAAGCATCATCTAAAAAATCTTAATTTAACTAAAATTTAATTAAGAAATACTAAATTCATAATAATAAAAAAATAAATAGCTATGAAAATGATTTGAAAAAGTTTTTCGTTTCGACAATAAACTACAGCTTACAAAATGGCTCCAATACATATAAAGACATTTAGAAATAAATAAAATTATAAGAAAAATAATAATAAGCAAAGAGTAATTCAACAAATAAAATCAAAAACCCCTACTTACAAAGTGAAGATGATTATCAAATAAGTGAAGAATATTTTGAAAAAATCATGAATAAAGTTGATAAGTTTGGTGTAGATAGGTGTTAAGTCTAGGAAAAAATAAACTAAGCTCTTAAAACTGAAACGGTATCTATCAATTTTAAAGAAAATAAGAAATTGAAAACTATCATATATTCTATATTATATCGTAACATTTGCTAAAAAAAGCTTGAGGGTGCAAAGAAGTTTATTTACAAGATTTTAGGCTATATCAACCCAAAATAAAAAGGCTTTAAATCTGAAAATTTTCTTCTCAGGTAAATTTTCTTACACTTTTTATGTATCTTGTTAACTGAAGCTGAGTATAAATAGTAAGCAACCACATTCTTAAATACTATTTTTAGTTTTGAGTTCTTGTCTTCATTAATTTTAGATTACATGTAGAATTCAGCCTAAAAAATTCTCAAAGTAAATATTGCGGATCAAGATGAAAAAGATTAGCCGTTACAGTGGTTAGCATAAGGATATAACTTAGACTTATTTTTATTTGATAGCAATTCTAATTTTAAAAAATTGAAGTTTAAGAGAAAAATTGATTCGGAATCTAATATCATTTTTATTTATTTCGAATAATCTTTAAACTAAGAACCAAATTAGGCAGTTTACTTTGTCATTAATCCTAGTGACTAACTAATTGCTTTAATGTGATTAAATTAAATTAAAGTATTATTTTCTAAAGATAATATTAAATAATAATAATCCATACTTATTAATTTGATTTTTTTTATCTATTTATGTTTTATTTGTGATCAAATTTACTTTTTTAATTAAAAAAAATCTTTCTTAATTTATATATTTGTTGAAGTAGAAATAATTATTAAATACTTTGAAAATTTTTAATTATCGATTATTAAATTAAAACTATTATACAAAATAAATTTAATTATCATAAATCCTCATAAATTTTCACCATATTTCCATATTTTGTCAATATTTATAAATAAATTAAAGACCAATTTTTTAGAAAAAAATTTTTGGTAAACTCACCTTAATAAATGAAAATAAAAGGTATATAAAAATGACAGCACAAACTAATACAAATAAAATTAAGAATTAATAAATTAAATAAAAGATAACTAATCAACATACCCTTAAAAAAATAAACTAAAAATGAGTATAGAGTTATAATAGAATAGTTCTTTAACTAACCTTTGATTTGAATGAAATAAGATATCAAGGTAGATTTATATTTATTCCTTATTTTAATAAATTCATAAACATATTTAATATATTTTTATCACACCAAACCAAAAAGAAATTTATTCATTTTTGATCTAGGGTTATTTAGAAATCATCAATAATTTTTGAATAAAAGATATTGTAATAAGTACATTTATTTACCTAAAAAATTTGGCAAAAAGCGGGATACAGATTTGCAGCCACAAGAATTTGAAACTTGGAAGTGAAAAGTTTCATTATATTTTTAAATTTTTTAGATTTTAATCATTTTTATGATTTTTGCTATTTTTGAGAATATAAACATTAATATTTTTTCATTTTTTTTACTCTACATCCAATTTAATAGTCTAACTTTTAGACTAAATCATTTACATTCATCTTTTGTATCATATATACTATCTTTAGTTTAATAATGAAAGAATATTTATTTTTCAAAAATAAAATAATAGCTAGATTCCTAAAATTATCTATTGTGATGTATTATTTGTGAAAAATATGCTAAAAGTAAATACTTTATTAAATCAGGAAAATAAAATACTTTTTTTCTTCTTCTTCTAATATTAAAATAAAATACTTTTTTTTTTTAATATTAAAGCAAAAATATTGATTATGAAAATTAATAATAAATTAATAATTAAATAATTAAGTAACTAACTAATAAGAAAAAAATTATTGATCAAAATAAATTTTAGTAAAAATAATGAACAGAAATATCAATAATCCACAACTGTTTAACAAAAACAACAAATAAGATGAATAAAAGGATATAGAATTTAAATCAAATCCATTTAAATTTAAAAAGATCCGAACCCGCAC